ACGCGAGATGTCTCAGGCGAGTGCACATACATAAAACCGGCCTGAGGGAGAGATCAAGCACGTGGTGCTGGGTGGGAGAGACGTCGCATAGAAGTCGAAGGGATTTAATCATTAAAGCTAGCGCCGAGGTTGAGTCATTCAAGAGTGTGTGTTCAAGAAGAGGGAGCTGGTTGACGGTTCGGATGGTAATGTCGCGGTACAGGAGCTCTTTTGCCGGTCCCGACCAAGCTTTGCATATCAGCGTAAGGCCTTGTTGGAAGCGCATACCCTGTTTTCCACCCGACATTGGATCGTGGCCAGTCCACAGGGCGGGATCGAAGATTTGAGGCTGCGGAGGGTAACATGCAAGATCAAAGATGGAGATGAGAAGCTCGAAAGGTAGAGCCATGTCTAGAGTTGGACTTGGGGTGTTCTGTCTCCACGTCACGATATGATCTATTGCTCAGAAACAAGCTTACCGGGACCACGATTAATGTGCTTACTGAGGATGCGCCGTCGCGGTATGAGAAAACTAGGATTCAGGCTGTGATTAGTTGAAACCTCCAATACCATATGAGAACCTATTGTCTATGTTTGAGGTTTGAAAAACAATGCGGTGAGGTGAGGGGAGGTTCAAGCGCATTTCCCACGGTGATCGGGCGGATGTTTCGTCGGCGTTCGTCGGCGACACCGACACGTCTTGCGCACTCTGTAGCTTAGCCTGTTCCATAGCCTCATTCGAGGTCTGAATCAACGTGCACATTATCTAGAAGCTGCCTGCGTTTCACCCCGGCTCGCGCGGCCCCGGCCTGCAGCCACGCACGCACGAGATCATCAGCGCCGCCCAGCCGCCCACTCTGTTTCGATCGTACAAGCCTGGCACGATGGAGCCCGACAAGGGCATTGTCATGGGCAAGACGCACGCGCCAACGCCGCACTTCCCCTATGTACGTTCAACCTATTCTCTCTTTTCACCTTTACACCACTAACGGCCTGTTGAACATCAGGCGGGCAGGGTCGTGCTCGGCCAACACAGAACCGAGCACATCCTCCGCAAGCACATTGCGAAATACAACGTGCACGTCGAGCTCGGTATCGAGCTGCGTTCGTTCGAACAAAACGGGGACTACGTCACTGCGCAGCTCGTAAAGAAGCAGCAGGACGGCGAGTAAGAGACAGCGGAGACAGTGCAAGCACAGTACCTCGTTGGCGCCGATGGGGCGCGCAGCGCGGTTCGCAAGGGCCTCGGGTGCACGTTCCTCGGCGAAACGCGCGATGACTCGCGGATCATCACAGGCGATATCCGTTTCGTGGGCGAAGGACTTGGGAGGGACTATTTTCATCGGTTTGGGGTTGTTGGGAAGAAGAGGTGAGCGCCTACTTCCTTAGCTCTATAGCTCATGTCGTCGTACTGGCATCTTATCATCCATCATCGACTACAGCTTTCTGACATCGCTGTATTCAATGCTCATCCAGCGATCAGTTAGAACGTCTCGAAACACGCTCACATTTGGAAACTTCTCACTCCATCTTCCGTGGTCTTCTATTCACCACGTTCTCCCGTGGCGTTCCTGTTCGACGAAAATATCGTCAACACGATGACCTCGCCGTCGCTTTCCTGAGCCTGCTCATGCCATACTCCGACTTATATCCGCTTCTCAGTTCCTCGTTCAGCTATCCCCTCGCCAATCCTAATCTTCTCCCTTCAAGACTCCCAAATCCTGTAGCTTCTCTCTCGCTTCTCCCTGTTCTGACGTCAGACTCCGTTCATCCACGCGTACACTCATCTCCGACTTGAGCAGCCCCGTGCCTCTCAGCGCATATCTGGCCTGCCGTTGCTTCTTCTTCAAGTTCTGCTCTCTGATGTCCACAGCGTCTTCTCTCAGAACGCGAAATTCGCTGAGCTTCTCGAATGTCGCGGGACACGGCGACCTTTGTCTGCTGATGCTCTGGAATTGGAGAAGGAAAAGGCGATCGTACCTTCCCGAGCGCCGTCAGCTTGAGTCTCGCTTCGGATCCGACGGTCATGATAAGCAGAAGCTCACATAAACACTCCATGTCTGTTATGCGCGCTCAATGTCGGATTGGGAGGTTGAACGCCTCTAGGGTACACAACGCCCGAGAAACGTTGGATCAGAAGAGCAGTATCGAGTGTTATCATCGGTGAGAGGTCCCCGATCTTACTTGCTTCCCGTCCCATCAGAGCTTTCAAACCTCGACTTCTCGCCTCCGCTTCAGTCCGCCCAACCGACTCCTGAGTTCTCGTCGCCGCGTTGCAGTTGACCTCGCCTCGAGCAGCCGCCCCTACACTCGTGTTCTTTGGCTTTCGCTTCGTCCTCACCCTTTTCTTCTTCTCACCTTTCGGGCCCGTATCACTATTCCTTCCTATAAGCGTCCCGCCTCCGCGAAGTTAAGCATCGTTCATGGCGAAGTTTCTAGCGCCTATCAAGGGAAGACCACCTTGGCAAATGTGGTGCCCTTTACAGGCAGCGACACGTGGTCCCCCCAAGTTGGCGCTCGTATATTTGCTGACCATCGCGAGTGGTGGACTTAGCGCCCTTGTTTTGGATCTCGTTCTCTCGTTCCCGTTCGTCTGGCAGTTGCATCACTCGGTTCGCGTTCTATACCTTCGTACTGTCTCCAATCCTAGCTTACATCTCCGGCACTTCCATCAACGCCACTCAAGCGTCGAGCTTATACATCAATCCACATTCCCTCGCCGTGATCTGAATCCACTTTGTAGGATTTCCGACCTATACATAACGGTGAGATGCTGATATTAAACTACTCTGATTGAAAAATACATCAAACACATACTGATAAACTTCCGGTGTGCGACGTAGAGGGGGAAATGGCATATCAGTAGTGTAAAAAATATAGAGAATAAGAGCCTTACTATGCTAAAGCTTTCCTTGCCGATGATCACAGCGTAAAAGAAGCCACCGGGGAGAGGGCTCAAGAACCACGAGGCGCTTCCAGTTAGAGCCCCATGACAAAAGGAAAGCCCTGGAACGTCGGCATCCCAGACTTGATATTGCGAACTCTCAGAGATGTTCAACGTAATACATTCCGTAAGCGACTTACTTTGAATTCCCGTTGGCTTGAACTGTTTATGCAGCATCCTTAGGGTGATGTTTCTGAGGCCCTGAGGATCTACCCTCAAGGCGGCGACGCTCCGCCAATGTTCGGAGAGACTATCCTTTCCACCAATGTATAGGGCCTTTACTATATCAAAATATCGCGCGATGAAGTCGCTGTCGAGCTCGGTCGGGTTCCCAGCGGCGTTGTAGAGCTCAGTGACCGCTTGCTCCACTTTTGACGTGGTATTGGCGTGTATCTGGCCAGACCTGGGTTGGTGCCGCTGCGATGGGGAAGATGTTGCCCTTTATATTGTACTAAAGACTTTGAGGAATGCGAAAAATCAGCGGCGAAATTGAGGGCGGTGTCTAAACTCATATCAGAAGCCTCCAGATCCTCGTAGTATCTTATCTCAAACTAACTTGAAATGCCCATACAGTGTTACATAAGTCTCAGCCTGGATTTCAAATCTTGAAACGGCTCGTAAAGAAAAGCACAATAGAACGGTGCTTCAAACGTGAAAACTTATGCCTACCTTTAGCCATCCTCACAAACTTGGAGAAACAAATCAGACTGAAATGAGTTTAAGGTCCTGCTGTAGGCAGAGTACAGTGCAGAGAGCGAGTAGACTACGAATCACCATCCAGCAGAATCAGCACCAGCTACACCACTATAGAGTCGGATGTAAATCGTATTCGGCCTATAGTGTCCCTATTAGTATAGTTCTATTAAAAGCCTTGAGATCGTTATAAGCCTCAGAGCTTAGCACTTTTGTACAGGGAATGAACACACGGAATGACTTCAACGCCAATACCAGCTCCCCATTCACGGATATGGAACATCTGAGAGTGTATTACTCCGATCTATCAAGGCGACGGTATACCATTGGAATTATTTTCGCTTCAACATGGATTGTCAGAGCGGAGAAATGATCCTTGAGTGCTGTTGAATGCTCTATCGAGTACGATCAGGCTCTGAAACCAATCCGTTCGCTGCTCTCTGACCGAAGAAATAAGCATATCAAATTCTTCTCGCATCTGTGACATAGGGCCCGGTAATAAAATTAGCGCTGATGGTGTTCCTCAACTCAACGGGTCGTTTTCGCCGGACATATGGTGATCTTGGGAGGAAGAAGTTTTCGGCGTAGGCCACGCACCGTTTCGTCACGGACCTTGCCTGTTCCGCTATAGCGGGTCGTTGGGGTGAGATTGGGTCGGGGTTGTCTTGGCTCGTGGGTTGCCTGTGAGGTCGGGTCCTTTGGTCCCTTGTTCTGCTTTGCTACTTGACTTACTTCTTCGGTTCGGGGCTATAGTGTTCACAACCTTTGGTTGGCGGGCACATGTCAGCATAATACGTTTTCCTATTAGGGGCGATCGCTCTCGTGTCTTATTTACGGTAGTACTGTCCGTCTTGGGGCTTGGCCCTCCTGGACATTAATATGATTACCATTCCATTCCAATAAAATTAGCGACTGCGCTGGCCAGCCCTACTAGTACTGTAGCATCGACAGTCTTTGACAGGTGGTTCATCTAGGGGGGAGATATCGGGCCGTAAAATGTACGCATACCCATATTGGGCGGTGATTACCAGGGACTTGTTGCAATAGTGTTGAAACGTTGAAAGCCCACACAATCCCACGCGAGTATTTATTGAATACACTCAACCGCCTTTACGCGTCAACACATGTTCCATTGTAATATTCGTACATGTTGCTCCTCGACGATTTCTCCATCTCATTCCATACACAAGTACAAGACGCAAGCTTTGAAGCACCTTTAGGTGGTCGGATAATGAGACTAAATATCGGCCCATTGGCCCTCTCCACCTACGTTCTTCCTCACGGTAGAGTTGTTATCTATGCGTTTAAGAATAAGAGACTGAAATATGCGATCTCATGGAGAAGTGAAACACGTACCGATAAGCTGCAATTGCAGACACATGGAGCAAAAATCAGTGCTAATATGTCAGCTAAATATTTTATCATAAGAGATAGAAAACCTAACGATGAGCGCTCCCGAGGAGCTAACGATATCAAGCTCAAAGGCATCATAGCCGAGGTCGTGCACGAACCAGTGGGCGGTTCCGCTCAAAGTTCCATAGACGTCGCTCAACGATTTAAAAGGCCAGCTCGCGTCTTAAGATTAGAATCCATTAGCAATCTGTATCATGATGAGGTAAACTGTCGTGATACTTACTTTCAGCACCGTTATCTTTGAACTCCTTGCGCAGGTCCAAGATGGTTAGCTTGTACGTAGAGTTGGAGCTCTGGCGGAATTGGATAGTGGTAGGGAGAAGAGCATCGTAGGCGCGGACAGCCGAGGTTTGGTGAAGTTCCTTGACCTGCGCAAAGTACTTCGCAGCGAATTCCTCGCTGATCTCGGTGGGCTTGCCAGCGGCGTTATAAAGCTCGCTGAACTTCGCCTTCAGCTTGGGACCAATCTCGGCGTTAAGTTTGTCAAAGTCAGCTTTAGACATGGTGTGGGTGGAAGTGTTTGTGAATGTGCGTATGCGTTTAGCAAGAGTGGTGGAAATGAGCTGCGATAGATGCTGCTGAGTTCGCCCAGCCATACTCTCTTAAATACATTCGGAGGGACCTGTGACTGTTAATTCTCGCGTAGAACACGCAAAGCTGTTCGCAACGTTCGCAAGGTTTTGCGCCGATGCCGCTCAGGGGCGTAGGAGGTTCATAAAAGCACCAGAACGTTGTTGGTGAACCCTTGAATCTTACTACAGAGTCCTCTAACTTTATCCTGCTTTTTCAGACCGAGGAAGTGGGGAGAATGGCAGATTTTCGTCCGCCTGTCGGGACTTTCAGGCAACCGATGCGAGGGCGTGAGCCACGGGCCCACGCAGATGATGTGTTCACGGATTTGATATGGATCCAAAGTCATGTAAATTTACTCAGTCCATCGCTATGGATCTACAAACAGCGGCTTGATGGGGTGTCACGCAACCCGCTTTGCGCCCGATGAATGTGCAAGTGTCAAACGCTTTAGACTGGATAAAACCACGTTTTTTAGACATTACTCAAGTCATGGTCCATGTAGGATCATGGATGGATTTTTTGTTCTGAATCGCATAAGCCTTCGTACCTTTATCGTTTCTATTATGAAGTAGAGGGCTTTGTTTATTGCTACAGCAAGGACCTAAGTCAAGCGCCCGCTCAATCAATGTAGGCGGACGATACTATGATAAAGATCCACACATAACGATCAGCTGGAAACAAAGTCAATTGTTGTTTAAGCTCTTGCCACGCTCCGCTGTATCTGGTCACTTCACTCACACGGCTGACAGGCTACAGCGACAGCATGAAATAGACTCCGAATAACCAATACCCTAGCGTTTTTCATCTGTGCAAGGGCAGTGGCATTCCACGTGTTAGGCGCCTGCATGAACGTGCTAAGCGCCCTCAAGCCTCAGGCCTCAGGCCTCAGGTCCCGAGCCCCATGATCAAAAGTTACCCAAGACCTTACACTTAGGCCGGAATGTGCTATTCAATGCGCGATATACGCCTTGGATAGGACGATAAAGCTACGCCAAGCCTCTGGTATGTTCAACCGTACCTTCGGCAAGCTGGTTGATTGGTTGGTTGGTTGGCTGGTGTATCATTTTAATGTCCACCACGCCTTATGCCTGTTGCAAACGAAAGGGACTCCAGTGTCCCTGCTAAATTCAGCCCTAACTACTTCGGTGGGAGGTGGAACATTCTGGCTTGAACAGCTTAGAGCAATGCTCCAATCCCAGATTAGCTAAGATCAGATGATTCCGGTGCTTGATTCACCTCAGGGTCAGCGGAGAGCATTTGAGCGGCGCCGAAGGAGTACTGCTGACTATCCTGGACTAGTGTTAGTCACGACGTTCCCACCTTGAAGTTGTAGATGCGGTCGCCGACTCGGAACAAGCATTTAAAGTGGGGAATATTGAATTTGTTCGTGTGTAGCGTGTCTGAATATTTGCCTCGATGCTGAGGAGTTGCTAGGACCACTCATGAGGGTATGCATCCGTTGTAATTCATGTGTGGAAAGCGAAGACATGGTAAATTCTGCAACGTCTCTATACCCGGCAGCACTGGTGTGTGAGGGCAGTATCGTGGCTGCGCCTAGACAGCCGCATGTCCATCGTACGTTTACCTCGAGGTTAGGCTTCCGAAGACTTAAATACTCGCATTTTTCGTAGATACTCTCCAGCACTCGACTGGCACTCGGTTCTCCCACTTCGGTGGTGACATTTGATCCCTTTGAACTCGTACAAGTACATGATTGGTCAGAAGTACTGCAGGATCGCTCACAATGGGGTCAGTAATTTGTCATACGCATGCAAGCAACTACATGTTCATTGGACACCGCGAAAGCGGGGATCCACTTACGCTCGGATTTGACAAGGAGCAGGATACATCCAACAACGAAGTGTCCAGCAGGGAAGATAATAATTCGGACGAGGAAGATGCGCATAAGCTGTGGACGTGACAAGTGCACTTGAACTCAAAGCTCTTACGCAAGTGTGCAATTCGTGAGTAAACACGTTCTCTTCTTCTAGAGGAACTTACTACAATATGAACTGGACTCTACTGATTTAATAGGGAGAAGGACGTCTGATAGAGGAAGGGGATGAAACGACAAGGCGACATGCACCTCGATACCAAAGGGGAGCGGATCGGCTGAGAGTTCATGAGAAAGCCGATATGAGCCGTCGGCAACTTCCGCTCAGAACCGCAATTAGAAACATATCTATGTCCGAGGTTTGGAAAGCAATGCGGCAAAGCGATTCAAGCGCATTTCCCACGGTGATCGGGCGGATGTTTCGTCGGCGTTCGTCGGCGACACCGACACGTCTTGCGCGCTCTCCAACTTAGCCTGTGTCGGGCGCTGACTCGGACGCGCCCATCCGCCTCGGGTTCTGACCTCGGACTTCTAGGGGGCCATTCGGGGGTCCTGCTCCGCCGGAGCCGCTGGTCCGAGCCTACCTGCAGCTGCATGAACTTGATCTCTTCAACCCAGTTTCTGCCGTCTGCACTCTTCATCATGCACTAGACAATGTTGCTCTTCGCACACCCGGGTTTCGACTGGATGACATTGTATAAAAGCAATGTTTAGCTCGCCTTTGGTGTCCTCGTCTTCCACTCGACATATCAGATAGCTTATCAAACAATGCCCCCCTCCTTGTCAGATAGTATCCCTGTCCTCATTGTGAGTGGTTCTTTCTTTGCTTATCTGGTAAGCCAGCACCGAGTACACTAACATTCTACTTCCACTAGTCCGGGGCAGGACCCACCGGCCTCACAGCCGCCCTTGTTCTCCTCCGCAACGGAATCAACGTGCGCATTATCGAGAAGCTGTCTGTGTTTCACCCCGGCTCGCGCGGCCCAGGCCTACAACCACGCACGCTCGAGCTCTTCCATCAGGCCGGGGTGCACGAGATCATCAACGCCGCCCAGCCGCCCACTCCGTTTCGATCGTATAAGCCTGGCACGATGGAGCCCGACAAGGGCATCGTCATGGGCAAGACGCACGCGCCAACGCCGCACTTCCCCTATGTACGCTCAACCTTATTCTCTTTCTTCACCTTTACGCCGCTGACAGCCTGTTGCACATCAGGCAGACAGGGTCGTGCTCGGCCAACACAGAACCGAGCACATCCTTCGCGAGCACATTGCAAAATACGACGTGCACGTCGAGCTCAGTACCGAGCTGCGTTCGTTCGAACAAAACGGGGACTACATCACTGTGCAGCTCGTTAAGAAGCGACAGGATAGCGAGGAAGAGACAGCGGAGACAGTGCAAGCACAGTATCTCATCGGTGCCGATGGGGCGCGCAGCGCGGTGCGCAAGGGCCTCGGGTGCACGTTCCTCGGCGAAACGTGCGATGATGCGCGGATTATCACAGGCGATATCCGTTTCGTGGGCGAGGGGCTTACGAGAGACTATTTCCATCGGTTTGGGGTTGTTGGGAAGAAGAGGTGAGCGCTTACTCCCTTAACCCTATGGCTCACGCCGTGTACTGACCACTCATTTTCACTTCAAGCGTGTTCCTTCGCCCGTGCCGCAGCATCGGCACGAACGATGACGGATACCAGCTTGTGATGGGCGGGGCGGAGATTGATGTGTCTGCGACGCTGGCTGGCGGGCATGAGGCGGTCTACGCAATCATCCAGGAGCTCGTGCCGACGAAGTTGGAATTTAGGGAGCTCATCTGGGTCGGTGAGTTTAGGCCCAACATCCGTATGGCGGACAAGTTCGGCGAGGGGAGGGTGTTCATTGCTGGCGATGCTGCACAGTACGTGATACACCTGATGGACTAAGCCTCATTTCATTTTCTGCCATTTTTTGTAGCTGTCACAGTCCCACCGGTGGGCAAGGACTTAACTCGAGTGTCCAAGATGCCGTGAGCCTTTCTCAATCTGTATTCCTCCCCGTACTCAATACAGCACTCACTCACCTTCCTCTCTACCGCAGTTCAACCTCGCCTGGAAACTCTCCCTCGTTCTCAAACACCTCTCCCCGCCCTCCCTACTCACCACTTACACCACCGAGCGCCACCCCATCATCGCCGAAATGCTCAACATCACCACCGCAATCCTCAACCAAGCCGCGCTGGGCTCGGACCGAGCATGGGAGCACCCCGAGAAACTACGCATGCTCGGAGTGAACTACCGCGCCTCTCCGCTCGTGCTCGACGAGCTCTCCCCGGCCGTCGACCGCGCGCCGACGCCAGCGTACGGCGAGGCGGACGAGGTGCTCGCAGGCGCGCTCGTTGCGGGTGACAGGGCGCCGGATGCGCCGGGGGTGGTGGATGGCGAGGGGCGGGCGTATAGGATGTTCGATATTCTGCAGCCGGTGAGGCATACGGTGTTGGTGTTTGCACCTTCGGTCGGGGAAGCGGAGGATGTTGTGAAGGCGGTTGAGGGTCGGGAGAGCTGGGAGGACATTGTGCGCGTCGTTATCGTGGTCCCTATCGGTGCCTCGATCAAAGGCACGGAGTCGCTGGGCGGTGTTCTAGTGTTGAGAGACGCAGATCAGTTCGCGTATGCGGGGTTCCGCGCGAAGGAGGGAGATAAGAGGGTGGTGGTTGTGCGTCCAGATGGGTACATGGGCGCGGTGGTGAGGGGTGTTGACGGGATAGAGAGGTACTTTAAAGGGATCTTTCTTTGAGCGGTGCTGATGTATATAGCGGACACTACAATATTTTGTAAGATATCGAGATTATCATTTGAATTATACCTGTCGAATCCCCCCGTTCCATGATATAACTCACATAAATATTCCAGATTTGCTTCCTGTATTCAGTGTCGGGTCTGTGGGCTCGACACCTGCTGGATACAGCCCATCGCAGATGGTCGGACGTGAAAGAGCGGTATCGAGTGCTATCGTTGGTGAGAGGTCCCTGATCCCGTTTGCTTCTCGTTCCATCAGAGCCTTCGCACCTCGACTTCTTACCTCTGCTCCTACAGCCAACGCGACAGTCTTCTCAGCGCTCGTCACCTCACCGCGACCGCTCTCGCCTCGACCAGTAGCCTCCGCAGTCTTGTTCTTCGCTTTTTGCTTCCATCTCGTTCAGTTCTTCGTCTTCCCAATTTGGTCCGTGTCACTTTCCCTCCCCGCCAGCCTTCCGCGCCCGCGATGGTGAGTATCAATCATGGTGAAATTATGGCGCCTATCCCAGCATGGCAATGCCATTCGTAGTCTGCGAACGCGTGAGACACATAGTTGCGCCCGTTCACGCCCTAAACTATCCAGTCGGCTGTTCAAAATAAATACTGATGGCGACTCGGTCGAACTTGTTTGCTCTTCGCGGGGCTAAGTCACGAAGAACCACACTCCAGCGAGATCTCACGCTCTCATACTACGAATGCCACGGTCATACTCTCACTATCGCGGATTTGGACAAAGGTGTTTTCGCCGACGTTGCAACGTCAATGAAACATGCCCGTCTTTCTACTCCAATCTGAATCGACCTCTCGTATACATCAACACGTGTCTTCATTGTGATATTCGTACATATCTCCCCTCATCGTCTCCTACACCTTATCGCATATACAACTACCAGGCGACAGCCCGAAGCACCTTCAGATGACTTGGATGATGAGAGTAATAACTGCCCTATACGCCCGTGCCTCCGACGGCCTTTACCACCTTTTTACTCTTCCCTGTAGTAGAGAATGAGAGGCATGATCATGCACCTTTGGGGAGCAGTGGAACATGCACCGAGAAACTATTAAGGCGGACACGCACAGGAAATGAAGTGCTAGGACGCCAGCTACTGCAACTATTACAACATATGTAAGGAAAAACCTAACGTGGGTTACGCCCGGGACATTTGAGATATCGAAGTGGAAATAGTCTTAGCCAAGGCCATGCACAAACCAATAGGTGATTCCACTCAATTCCCCAGAGGTTTGGCTGGATCCACTAACGTTCCAGCTGACGTCTTGAGGTTAAGACCCATTAGCCATCTTTACCGTGAGGAACTACTGCATTACGCCACCTAAGCCTTCGCGTCTTTTCGCGCCCCACTCACCTTCCCCCTCGGGCTTCGCGTACGAAGCTATGTAACCCCATTTCTTTATTTTGCAATCTATGTGTCGGGTAGCCTCATACACTTTCCTTATCGTGTACTAGCCAACGAGCTAGCAGTTGCCAATACACTCACATTTCTCGTGTTCTCCGAATTCACTCTGAAAATCGCGGTGGCTCTATTTCATCTGGCCAATTTCAGCGTTTCGATCGTAACCTAAGCCTGCTTAGACACATAGCCTTCGAAATTTGATTCCCCTCCCCTCTTCGCTACTGCATATATATGCGGTATATGCCAACGTCTGACATCCCCCCTATCGGAGCGAAGCGATGACATTCCTTGTCCATCTAACATCAGCACCGACGGCTTCTCACCGGTCACCCCCGTACACCCGCCGCGACCAACATCGGCGCGTGTCCCGCACAGTTGACTTGCCGTGCAGCTGTGGTGAAACACCGCGCAAGATGATAAAACGCAGCACCTGCGCTTCCAGCGCTAGTGGAGGATGAACAGACGCCCTTTGATGTGTCTTCTGACCTTGAAGATGGCGTTGGACCGGGTGTGCATGTGAGCTCCGCGAAGAGAAACAGCGCGGAGAGGGGTGCCAGTGGGAAGGGGGGTGAACAGACTGGACACGGACGTGAAGAGGGAATGTGATCGGGTTTTGGGTGTGCCTTCTTCCTTCGCTTTTCAAGCACGCTGAATGCGGTCATGACCTTGAATCGATGTGCTAAGGGATAAATAGGTCGGGTTCAAGGCGTCCCTGTTCTCTGTGTTTGCACCTATCAACGGTGGCGGTGGGCACTCATCACGTTGGTGTTCTCTTTGATTAGTCCCCGCCTCTGAGCACCGTCAACGGCTCGCGAAGCCCGCAAGCGCAAGAAAGCACCTTCGCTTTCTTGAGCCGCATCGCCAACGGGCAGGCGCTCGGCCGAACGTTATCGGACGTGTCCCTAAGAGCTCAACTTTCTGCGAAGGGAAGTCTGAGGACACGAGGGGCTCCGGCGGGAGCGCGACGAAGCTGATCAATTTTTGTTCTCTGCAACCAGCATTGAGAGCTTCGGACTGAGTACTTTACAGTCGCATGTACTTAGCAATAAGAACCGTGAGCATCTGAAAACTATACATTGCCATCGGCGGTCGTCGGAGAACCGCCTGTTCTCATAGAAGCCCGTCTGTGTCTTAAAATATGTGTACTCGGGTGTCGACCACAACATGAGTAGTGGTTCTTCGTACGTTTTCAGGCAAGGTCCTTCCTCAAGGGTATCAGGTGCATCAGTCAGTGCTTGAATTAACCGGGAGCGTAAGACAAGCCCATGATTAACTCGGAACAGATACCACACGTCCCACGAGCTTATAAAAAGCACTCTTCACACGTAGTAGCATCTTATCCTCAACGCGATGGCCGAGATTGGCCCCCTCCCAGGAAACGAGCAGTGTCCCCCCAACTTCACACTGGAAAAATATTCCAATAAATTTTGACAATTTAGTTTAAATACCTTCACCGGGTAGTTTAAATAACCTTTGCATACGTTTCCGAAAATTATCCGATCCAGGGACTGAGATTTATTTAAAATAAATTTTGGGAAAGTATGTTTATGACTCTGCGGCACGTGGTGACAGGCATTTAAAATACATTTTGACAAGCGGGGGCAATAGGTGGGTGAAGTGGGCCCATTGTATTTTGAATAAAAATTTAAATACTTTTATCATACCCTGTGATCAAATATTTAAAATAATTCCCAGGCACTGCCTATAACAGCCGAGCCATGAACCGGATCGGGTTGTCTATTTTGGCTCAATCCCCGAGCCAATCACGATTTGCCGAGCCCAGCGAGGTCAATAACAAACGAGCAAACAATAATCCAATATCATTGGGTAATCAAACGCCCGTCAAACGTCAGTCAAACGCCCGTCAAACGTCAATCAAACGCCCATCAAACGCCCGCCAATCGCCCGCCAATCGGCAATCAAACGGCAATCAAACGCCCGTCAAACGCCCGTCAAACGTCAGTCAAACGCCCGTCAATCGGCAATCAAACGGCAATCAAACGCCCGTCAATCGGCAATCAAACGGCAATCAAACGCCCGTCAATCGGCAATCAAACGGCACTCAAAAGCCCGTGCATCATCACTCCCATTGCCTCCGTTCGCCACCCCCCGCCAACAGCGACAGAAGGCGACGCGTTCAACGCCAAGGAAAGTAAGTCAAACCGCATCATACCAGACGTTGTTACGCCACTAGCAACGGCGAGAACGCCTACTCCTGTATTGACTGATGGCGCGGGAGTGTCTGCCCAGCGCAACGCTGAAGTGTCGCATGCGAGTCTGACGGATATCCGATGACCAACCCTCGAATATCAAGGCTGAAGCATCAGAACAGACAACAGGGGCGAAGAACGGCCGGAACATTCGACAGTCAGAGCTCGACATTGAATCAAACACGATCAAACGAATAACGGTAATATGGTTAACTATACGGGAAATAATAAGAATGACTATACTCATCTTACGAAACGCTTCAAAGAAGACCTCAGCATCGACGCTAGCCTAAGTACAATCAAGTAGAGCATACCTTTGAATGCAGACCAGGCTCCGCCGACAGTTCAAACTTTTTCAACAACAGAACACAGACAGAATGCACTATTTCAGGCTCGTTTGTTTCTATCTTACATTGCAGTAGACTACACGTACAACACCTCAGTGAACGCGGTCCTTGTTACGATCCCCAACCGCCAGCCTGAAGCAAAAGTCCTCGAAGGCAGAGAAGTTAAACCTGCCGCCATCCCTCGCCATGAACTCCTCAAACTTTGCACCACCGCGGTCCCAGATGAGGTCGTCAAACGCTTGTAAGGTCGTCACACCAAGCTCTGCGAATACCGCGGCGAACTGGGTCAACTTGATGTAGCAGTCCTTCTCCAGGAAATGCCAAAAACCATAGTCGATCGGATGATCGGCTGGGTCCCATATCTATTACACAGTAAGTATTGCCGCTCGAATTACATTAAGACGCAAAACTCACCCCGAGGAGCTCAACGTCGGATGAGACGGAGGGAGAACGAATCGTGGACGGGGAAGAACGAGCATCGTCAGAATCATCGTCCGTCTACCACAATCAGTAAATTTCAATGACATAATCAAAAACTCACCGTGTAAGCTGCAGTACCGTCATCCTGAACAGAGATCAGTGTCAGGGACTAAGTTGCCAGATCCCACCACGCGACAGAGAACAACGTACCGAGTCAGAACCAATAGTGCGGCGGCGTTCTATCTCCCGCAGACGATTGTTGATGTTGCGCTCGATGTACAGCTCTGCGGGCCACGCGTTGCGATATCCGTTGAGGAACGTGTGCTGTGTGGTCGCCTAAACGTTGTTAGCAAATCACGCGCTGTACAAAGCCGTACCACTTACCCTGGCAACAACCAAAGCTACATTAGCCGCGTTCTGCTGGCTGAACGGGATACTACGATCCAGCAACTCCTCCACAGCTGGACGCATCGTCGACTAGTGCTTTCAGCAATACTACTGAGAGATTAAGTACACGTCGGACTTACCATTAAATCCCCCCACTGCCCCGCAGTCAAACGAGTACACGCTAAGATATCCTCCCTCACGACACTATGAGAGACGAGGAAACGATAGACTTCGTCGATTGGACGTTCAACTGTCGCCATTATGGTAGAAGGGTAAAGGGCAAGGAGTAAAAAAGCAAGCGAGCGACATAAGACTTCGATTCTTCGGCTAGCCCCGATGTTCACACACTAAACATGAGCAAACTAAGAGAAGCCGAAAGCGCTCGCGGTTGGAAGCCGCTGTGCGATCGCTAAAATCAAACAGGCACCGGGAATTGAACTCACGACCTCGTGAAGTCAACTACATACAATGTGCTTGTATCTAACCATTTCCACTACTACGCCGTATACCTGCTGTTACATTCATTGTAGTATGATTGTCCCCCTATGTGCGATAATATGCCTAGACACGTCCGGGTATCGAGTTGGTCGAATCTGCCGTTCCTCATGGTGTATGGTACTTTCCATTTGTATTATGCACTCTTCTAGAGCATCTTCTAGATCGCACCATGCGCGCTTATCGCCCTATGATAGCTATTGACACTATCTTTGCTTTTAACGGCGCCGGCCGGCCATGCTTCTTTCATTCTCGTCTTCCAGTCGCATCGAATCCACTCGTATTACTGCTTCTATCTCTCACACGTCATATCTACTACTACGTATGTCGTTGGAATGTTCAATCTTGGGAATGTCAGCCGTCGTGCTGAGTAGTCTATGAGCAACCATATGTTTTACTGATTCTATGATACATCTTCGTTTTTGTGGTCGCAAAAGCCTGAGCTTATTTTGATCGGGAGAGTCCTGTTCTCTTGGGCGCCCAGCCGCAACAGTTTTCCACGGCAGTTCCGCGGACAATGCATACTATCCACACCTCTGAGTTCGACTTCCCACTTCTATTCGCAGTCGGGCGTGGTAACGCTCCGTCCACCCTCGATTAGCTTCTTTCGCTAACACCCTCAAAGAGAGCCTGCTTCTCTGTATGTACAGGAGCAGACCAAGGTGCAACGTCAGTCAGCTGTTGTCCCCGTGTTCATTTTTGCACTTATCTGACTTCTTTAGTTTAGAGAAACTCCCAGGCCTCAAACCTATGAAATGATATTAGGGTAAGAAGAAAGCATAAGCCTGTATTGTAAGACGCATGAGGAACCCGCCACTGATCTCTATCAGTGTCACAAAAGACGATGACATTGGGGGTGTCCGACGTAACTCCCTCGGCATCAACATCGATACTGCAGCCCGGAGAGCATCACCAAGAGGTTGAACGAGTATATGTAAGAAAGGAAGGGTTGCCTTTCCGCAGGGAATCCACTCCATCATAGATTCGAGCAAGTGTACTTCGGCGTTCCGTCAGATCGTGGAGCGACGCGGGTATCTGTTCTTGAGTTTGGAAGGGACAAAGGCTTCCATTATTATGCTAATACTCTTTCGTACTTGATGCGTGCCTTTTAGAAGCGTGGAGCTGCTTCTGGTAGCGCTGTGATAACGTTTGAGTTATGATTGGTGCTTCGATCCGCGGAGGCATCGGCGATTTCCGAACCGACGTGTATACAGCATATAAATCAGAGATAGCTTTCGTCGTAAGTATCGTTCACCGCCCATCATGGGGAAACACGATTTGCCTGGCAGTGATCTATACGACCTTATGCGTACCCGATTGATACCTCAGTCCCACATGCTGAAGATCATGCATATGAGTGTCCCTGAGTGGAACAACCTTCAAGTGAGTTCGCGTCAAGTCACACCATCAATCAATAGGGGTGACAGGATTTGTAAGAGACGAACGCGGCCGATCGTGGAGGCTCACTTAAACAGAAACGTTCCCTTCGCTCAACAGCCTAAGGATCGATTATCTTTGGTGCTGGCGGAGGTGAGTGTTAGTTTTTTTTGCTACGACGTGAGTTCAGAGAGGTCGTGTAGGCTCTGAATGTCTTGCCCGAAATGGAGAACTATGTCAAGATTTATCCGTTGAGGTTGTACATCGAACTGAACATATTCGATAACATTCGTCACAAACTTGTACGACATGCACGCTCTTCGCGACGGTCAAACGGTTGCTCTTCACGACGATCTAGCGGTGGCTCAGGCTCTTCAACATCGGTTTAGTTTTCGTTCTAAAAGAGGAGCCCGTCGTTGACTCTAACTTATCACAGTCTGCCTCTGCCCGTCCAATCCCAGCTAGGAGATCTTTGTCGCCGCTCAGAGCTCCATCCACATTGGTGAGTTTTACTTCTACATGTACTTAACTGGCCGTTTAGAATTCATTTGATAGCAGTCAATTAACCAAGGAGGAGATAACTCGGCTGATATTGCGATAGACCAGCAGCTGGCACACTTCCTTCAGATCGACTGTGGCGTTCCCCTCACGAAAACGGCGGGCGCTTTCACAGCATTCGGTATATCGGACATGGAGACATTCGTCGCCGCTGTTCGAAAGGAGGATGGCGAGGCTTTTCAGGATTTCATTCAGCAGAACGGCGCCCAACACGGTTTGACTCTTTGGGAGATTTTCATCTTGATCCGAGGGGTGAATAAACTTCGCATGGGTGAGGAGTAGATCACATGTGCTCGTAGACTACGATACAATTTGAGAATGGACTTGGTGAAGGTTCTGCGACGTGAACACTGCTAGAATCCAATGGGCCACTCCTCTATTTTGTTGCTAAGTCATATTCTACGCAAAGAAATTCCTCGGTGCAAAGCCCGTCGGCCGAAGAAGCAGGCAATCAAAAACAAACAGACTGTGTCATAAATTTCACGATTAGTAGCTTAGATCTCATATCCAGATTGATCATGTAAGGATTTGCCAGATGTCGATGACCTGTTCCTCAGGCCTTAAAATAGTTCGGTAGCTGGAGCATAACTCAGCGGTAATCTGTGCAAATATACATCTCCGACCACATCAGGGCGTGCGTTCGGCGTACATGCCTCATATATTCAGTACACGGCCCAGCTATTGATACAAATACAAAGACGATATCCACAACACTATGCACACCGTACAAACGATTATAAATACTGCGCGCCTGTTCGTGAACATTAGATAACCGAAATTGTATGAAATCATACCGCAGGAACATGCTCACCAGTTCTAAACACTCTTACTTTTTTGTGGTCTTGCGTTTCTGCCGAGTAACCTTCCCAGTGGACTCCTTCCCTTCCGAAGCAACTTTACAATGGCTTGTGGAAGGCTCAGCCTGAGAAACCACTGGATGACTGTCTCCAAGTGCTGTATGCGCCGCCAAGAGAGCACAAACTTTTTGATGGGTCCATACCATTCAGTGCCGCTGTAAAAGCTGTTGTTTCAGGTGAATGTTGACGGGCATCAACATCGTCGCTCGACATGGTTGAGGTTGTCTGACCCGACGATCCATGACTGGAATCTTCAGTATCATTGGTGCGAGAATCATCAGCATGCTCCTTAGGCATGGAAGATGCTCGCGATGGAGAAAGCAAGGTCCGAGTTCAACTCACGGTCTTGATCTTGAAGTATTTCTGCGGGGATCGCTGGCGCGTCGGTCGCTTTAGTGTAAAGTCACGTGTTATGCGTTCGCCAGTTGAGGTTGAAACGTTGAGGCCCAACGGGCGTCTGTTTCGCTGTTCCTCGCGATCGTCACGAGTGCTCCTCTCGAGGAGACGCCAAAATGACCCACAAGACAGGTTCCCCTACCCCACTACCCAAAATCACAATCAAACGATTCACGACGAAAACTCATCTCAACCCGCCGGCGTTCATGACCACCAGGTGAGACCCTCTTTCCCAAGTTTGTACTCCCTGACGGACTCAAGACGGACCCTAGTTAACACCTCTCGGAACAGACAATGATCTCTCTGAGTTCCAGCAACCGGATCACTGTATTCGGTACATTGGTGAGCATGATACGTAGTGATCCCTGTGGACCTGTCTTCTCACGCGCACCAGAACCCGTCGAGGAGGACTCGGCCATCCAGGTCGACTTGGAGTATGGCATGGATGACATGGATGAGCAAGGTATGTGTGACATATAACCGTTCAGAACCTAGTCACAGCTCTGACTCGCACTCCATCAGATCAGGAGTGGCTCGACGCTCTCAGCGCTGAACGAAAGAAGGAGCAACTAAACCCTATATCGTACGAGACATTTGAGGTCATGGACCGCTTGGAGAAGGAATGGTTCGACTCTAGTGAATGCTATCGTTTTCTGTGACGGGTGCAACCTTGCCGTCCATCAAGGTAAATAATCTCCATCCACGTTACGCTATTTTCTTTTATGAATTGTGCTCGCAGAGTGTTATGGAATACCCTACGTTTCTGAAGGCCAATGACTTTGCCGTGAATACACCGTTTCCCCTGAAAATCCTGTGGTATGTCGCTTACTCTCCTCTCCCTCCGCATGCCACGTCTTAATGTGCCCTTCAACTAGTCGTGCATTTTTTGTCTGAATGAAGGCGGCGCGTCCAAGCAAACCATGACAGGCGAATGGACACATCTCCTCTGCGCAGTCTGGCTTCCCGAAACACGAGTTGTGAACTAAATCTTCACGAAGCCCATCATTGGCGTGGAGACGGCAAACAAACAATGTTGGAGACTAGTGAGTACTTCTCCGTAATATTGATTAGAGCTATTCTGACTGAAATCCTTAAGAAATACACGGTTCGCGGCGTGAAGGAAGGCGCACGGACTCAGTGTTTTGGCGTTCTATTGGAAAAGCATCTTCCGGTGCGTAACTACTCCATGGCCATCGTTCATACCCTTATTTTCGAGATTATGCAGAAAGAGCAAGCGGAAATTCGCGAGGCTGCTTTACCTAGTTCCAGCGCTTCTTCCAACAACGTCGTTGGCGTGAAGCTCTCCAAGTCCACACGGGCACCAAAGCATATAATTCGGGCCCTCCTTTGGTTCCTGCCTCATCGGAAACGTATCATTAACAACATAGCCAAGATTATCGTGCGCAAGGAACAAGGGTTTTTTGTGGCTTGTCCGCAAATATTGGAGTTTCCAGCGCGAAGCCCGTCGGGGCGCGCGCCCCTGCTCAAAATGTTGCACCTCGGGCCTTGGACTGCGGCAGGTGCGGGATGGACGTTGAGCGAGGAGGAAAAGACATGAAGCTGGACGTGAGTACTTTCCTCGCTGTCTGTGATTTTTTTGCTAACGCTTCCCAGTTACTCAAGCAACTAAAAACCGACCTAGGGCGGGTTGCAACAGCTCGTGGAGCTCATATGGAAATGCGAGAGCCGCAAACGTATACAGACGGACAGCATCCAGAAGGTCGCTGAGGTCGTGTTGCTCGCACGTGAAGTACCTCTTCGGTTCGCTTTCGAATGTATACTAGCGTACGTTGGAAACATTCTACTCCTTGATTCATTCCTGATTTCTAGTCTAGTCTAGCCCGCAAGATGCCGTGGCTCCGGCACCAGTCGATCAAGGACAACGTTCTGTTCGGGTACCCATATGACAAGGAGCGGCGCCATGCCGTCGCCGAGTGCTGTGGGCCCAAGCCGGATTTGGATATTTTGGAGGATGGGTACGCGATGGAGATTGGGGCGAGGGGTGTTAGTTTGAGTGGGGGGTGCAAAGGCTCGGTACGTTCATTCTCTTATCTCCGGTTCGAACTCGGTTGATCAAGCGGATAAACGAATAGTGTTGTTTTCACGATAACGGTATATGCGAGGACAAAGTATGCTCTTTCGGGTGATCCTTTGAGTGCGGTGGTAAGTTTACATAAATTAATTCGGTAGCTATGGGTTTATGCTAACACTGTGTTTCCCAATTTTTAGGACAGCCATACTGCTCGGTTCTTGTACGCAAAATTGTTCCCTGGATTGCTGCTGGCTCACCGCACTGTCGTGAGTATCCCGTTTTGCCATCATATAATTCTATAATATCTAACGTTGAGTTGATCTTGCCAGGAATACCTCGTTCGTATGCTGGATGGACGAGTTGATACCGAAGCGCCGTCAAGGAACTCCGCGTGCGTAAGGGATTTCAGACGAAATCGCTCAAGATTGCAGTGTAAGCTAAGGGAGAAACCTATCGTCGCTTTGGACGCCCCTATCGAGGCCGCCGAGCCTGTCGATGAAAACGCGCAGAAAGCTACCGAGGTCAAGAAACCCAGGAAGTTTGTCACGGACGAGCACCGCGAGGAGGGCGGGATTGAGTGGTCGATTTATATAGCATCCGTGAAGGCTTCGTCGTACTGGACGTGGTTCGGCCTTCCGATAATCGTCATCGCACAGTGCATTGGTTTCAGCGAGAGGCTGTGGACCAGTACATGGGGCTCAGCGTACGGTGCCATGGGTCAACTTGTACCATACACTCACCCGTCCATCGCGTTGGACGACAACGAGGCTGCGTACAGCGAATACCTTTTCCAGTCGCAACGTTATACCCAGAACACCTTCTACCACGTCCAATCCTCGTCAAGGGCCCTCCCGGACGTTTGCGAGTACCCCCTCTTCTATGTTAGAGTATACAGCTGTATCGGCCTCGCCTCGGCCCTTGTCAGCATCTCCTCCACCCTCGTCCAGTTCACCGGCTCGCTGCGCGCCTCGCGGCTTATGTTCCGGCAGCAGCTCGAGCGCGTCACGCGCGCGACGATACGGTGGCACGATGTAACACCGACCAGGCGGATGCTCAAGCAAGGACATCAAGACGATTGACAACCTAGCCGGGTCGCGTTCCACGGTGAACTCGTCGCTTGCGATGTTCGCGGCGGCGATTGCCACCGTTACGGTGTTTTCCCCACTGTTCCTCGACCTCGCCGCGAACCCTGAATATGTGTTTCATCGCTCACGATTGGGTATTTGAGCACGAGGATGGGTTTGAAAACGAAGAGCAACCCAAGGAGTCAGGTGTTCTCTGGGTTTGGGCAGCTTTTGGAGGGTATCGTTACGGTTCGTTACGGTTCGTTACGGTTTGTGCCTTCTCGGCCGAAGGGCAGTTTTTGGATGGTTTGCATGGGAAGCTGGATGTTACGATCAAGGTTAGTTTCTTTCCGTGCTCGATGATGTGCTTATACTAACAGTGATCCATTTGTAGATGTGGTACATGTTCTGGATGTCGAACTGCTGGCTGCTGCTCAACTTCGACATTCTTGGTGGCCAAGCGGTTCTGATTACGATGTCCTTCGCCTTTGTGGACTCCGGCATCGCTAGTGTCTGCATCAAGAACGCGATGACGTTCGCCATCAGCGTGTACTAGGCGTGTCGGTTTTGGACGGCGCTTGAGCTCGATCTCAAATGAGCTTTCCGTTTCTTCTCCGTACAAAATCATAGCTAACTAATATATTATTAGCTCTGTCGAGCATCTGGTCGAGCATCTTGACCTCCCTCAAGAATCGCCCCCCGTCGTCGAATCAAACCGTCCCTACTGAGCCTCGAGCACAGGCTCGGCTGACCTCATCTCGGTCGAGAACCTCGTCATCAAATATGCACCGGAGCTGCCGTCCGTGCTCCGCAACGTCTTGTTTACGCTGAAGCCGAGGGAGCTAAATGGGCTGCTCGGTTGTATTGGTACGTGCATCTGAAAAAAAAACTTCGGGTAATTCGTGATTAATCGCTTTTCAGGGGTTGGCAAGTTGATGCTTGCGAATGAGAATGAGTCTGGTTAACCCAGCTATGGTTGAAACTGTATTAGTGCTCGTCGGTTGGCTGCTTCCCCGCCGGGTTTCTTTACCTATTTTCATCCATCGCCTAATAGGCTCTTGTTCCCCACCTAGTCGCTACTATGTTCAAGACGCCCCCGACGCCAAAAAACACTTCATTGGTTTCAGAAATCTGGGATAGCAGCGGTAATTCAAGAATAAAGAGGCGCGGCGCCATGCAAGGGGGGTTTTCAGGGATCCAGGGCACGATCCTATTGCCAGCGGACTAACATCCTCGTCAGTTTCCGTGGTTGGGGTTACAAGTATATACGATGCGGCGAAGTTAAAGGGTAGGCAGCCTTCTTTCAACGATGATGCCAACAAACCGTCCGCTAACATCTACCCCTCTGCTGCTCAGTGTACTTTATCGCACTTGCTCGAGGAATGAAAATGAATTAAGATTTTAAAAAAACACTAGAATCTCGATGTACTCCCTAGCGACACGGCGAAGTGTAGTTGTATGTGGAGTATATGGATTGCTGGAAAATCGGCTTTGAGGCGTAGTGAATGATATTAAGGCGTTAGCTGAGAAAGGTATCCTGCGTTTCAAGGGAGCGCATGCTATCATAAGAGAGGTGGAAGGATGGATTCATTGTACGGACGCGGAGAGTAATCCAAGATTTTAATACGCAGACATGGCTACCTTGCCGAACGTCCCCAGGAGCCACAAGTCGGAGAAATTCCGCAGCGGCTTTGTCTGTGGGCGTTTATCAATAGGGTATGATCATGTCCAAAACGGGCGCTTATGGACCGCATGTCAACGTCGTTGGGTGCAAACTGGATGTGCCATCTGCAGAGGCCTGCATAGCTACTGAGCCACGACTGTCTGAGAGAGAATTAACACTTATCACTCACAAGACTCCTCCACATGCCACGCATCAGCAACCACACTCAGCCTCTCGCCTTTCAGGCAGCTAATGTCAACCATAGCTGGATGGATGTCATGTGGCAGAACAACGCGAAGGGAGTGTGAGTAGATGTTGGATGTAACCGACATCACGGGGGCCTTTCCGGGGGATGGTAAACAACGCTCCCGGCTAATGAGCGATGGTGTCGATGGCCGGCCACATGGTAGATTACCGTCCGAAGGGCTGGAGCGGTGTGAACTGACGACGGATATGGTGATCAGCGGGGAGACCTGCTGTCCGTGGCACCGCTGACCAGAAGCCCACGCCACGGGGGTGGTGCTCTGAGTGACATCAACACCATCGGGGAATTCCGTAGAGGACGCGCAGGATAAAGTAAAAGCGACATCATTGAGAGTAGCAGAGTCTATGGGCTCCGGCGGGAGGCGTACATGATGTCGAGTCCTCTGGGGAGAAGGCGTTCGCAGAGGGGTGGTGATAGATTGTACTGGGGAGATGAGAATGGAAGCATTTTCAACGTCCTTATCGAGAGGGGTGAAATATGAAGTGACCATGGGCAGACGCGGTACGTCGCAAGGTTAACTGCAGAAAGGATTGTTGAGATGGAGGAAGGCGTGCCCCGGAGGATTTTAACACTGGGAAACATATCCCATAATAAGCTTGTGAGCCGCGTCAGCATATTTATATACGTCCGGCCATTGTCAGAGGATACACCGGAACGAGCGGACCGCCGAGCTTGCCAAAACGTCGATCAACAGAAATATGGGAAACAGCTCAGGTAATGTGGATAGCGTTTAACATTTAGTATAGCTAGGGGCAAGCTAGGGGGCAGGTCGTAATCTAATAGTTCAGATAAAGTATTCCCCAAATGGATTCCTGTGGGCTTCACTTTCCGTCGAGGACTCTTCCGCCTCACCTGCATCATGCAACAGCTTCAAAATAACTCCCCTCAAGTGAAACTCCTGTATCGGGGGCGAACGCAGTACAGTGCGGCAGAATGGGCACTTGTATTCCGGTTTGACTTGTCTTGCATTACCTCCATTGCTGGAAGTATCCTCGTTGCCTCCCTGCCTTTGTTGATTAGTTTCTTGTTCATAACGAGAAATGATATGGCGCGCTTCCATAGACAGGGTAGGCATAGGATGATTCGTGACCTGAGGATGGCGGAGGAGGGCAACGACCTCATTGGGGATGTTTGCAAATGAAGGTGTCAAATTTGAAGCGTGTACATTGTAGTGAGGGTGGGAGTCAATATTGAATCGGGTGAGCGTATCGTCGAACCCTTTGATAATGCATGACCGGCAGAGTGTATGGCCGCAGTCAGGTAGCCTGAGGAGGTTAACGAATCAGAATGGACCAAATCTGGAGACAATGAGAATATACAAGTATGGAGACTGCATATTTCCAGTACAAATTTTGCAGGATACAAATTCGTCGAGATCGTCGCGAGACTATCATATGTGAGCAAAAAGTTATATATCTGGTTAAGACAACATCAATCAATACTTACAATGGCGACAGAGCTTGAAAGGTGAATGTTCATATCCTGAATATGCGCTTTCAACATGCGATTTTCCTAGAATTTAATGAGCTCAGGTTGTGGTCAATGTTCCTGATTACCGAATGACCTCTTGCATTCTGGCAGCCGTGTCCTCCAGTTCGAAAGCTTGATTGACAGCGCCTGCGATGTTGCGATTCATGTCCTCTACTTGTGTTCTTAACGTGCGGTTTTCCTGGATATGGATGAGATATGAGCATTTTACTAGGTGTTTAGCGCTCACCTCTTCTAGTGTGGCTACGGTCTGTTCAAGATCTGTGCCTTGCCCGCTGGTACCTCCCATTGCATCGCAAGTTTCCTCGTCATCTGATGCGATCTCTAATATGATATCTTTCGAGGGAGTAGGACCTTTCTTCTTTGGGTTTGCTCTCCCGTCCCGAAGTTTAGCACTGGATGCCAATAATGACGCGGTAGCGGCCCCGTCTTCATCATCAGAAATGACTATCACTTGCGGCGGGATGTGGCGCGACGATGAGGTGGTGGTATATGGCGATGATCCTGAGCGTAGAGCGAAAGTTTGCCTACTGGCCGGCATTTGGTAAGGCAGTGATCTTTGGGTCGAAGGTTTTCTCAGAGGTCCCGCGTGGTAACAAGAGTATGAGAAAATCATCGCATATACAGCGCGGAAACCGATCATGATGATCGCGACCGACTTATAAAACTTGCATTATTGTCCCATTATATGTGCCATTACCATTTCATGGCCTTTTTCGATAGCCAGCATGCGATTAATATGCAGCAGATGAAGCTAACCTTTGGTATTTCCTTTCTCAAGCTGGCTATCGACAGTTAATGTTGCTTCGGGTCTGGTTCGTGGTTTTTGCGGGCACGCCGGTGGACCAGCGATGGATCTATAGCGTATGATTAAGTGCTCCCATATTTTCCCAGGTCTGTGGGCCAGGCGGTTGAAACTTGAGCGGGCCGGAGGAATCGGAGGGCGTCTGACTTGGGTGCTCCTTTACTCGGTGTTTCTCAGCTTCACAGATGGTCTTACAGTATTCAGTCAAATTCGAGCTGGATTATCACCAAGGGCGCATATACTGCCTTGCTTTTCATCCCTTTCTTGATTTCCTTGCTTCTGGTGGTGCGGATTGTACCGTTTGTATCTGGGACTGTCGCACAGGGCATTTGCGATGGAAATTTGTTGGAGAGACGCCGGTATTATCGCTCTCATGGACTCAAACTGATGGTACCGTTCACTGCGGATTCGCGGACGGATTCATCATCAGTATTAGTCTCGATTTATCTGCCCAGGTGTGCTCTCTGTCATACGCCGAGATTGTTACCAGCACTGAAGCCAAACATGATTTATCCAGCAACTTCGTGTTGACGGTCTTCTAGCACATACAATTCCAGTGGAGTATGTTGCCGCACATCCTTCGGGATGTTGGTTGGCGACTGGTGCAAGAAGCGAGGTCTACATATGGTCTAAAAGAAATTCTCCTGGTATGCTAAGCGTGTTAGTGTTACCCTGATCATGCTCATCTCTCAGCGTTGTGTGCCTCGAGATCGGTGGAGCAACAGAATCGCGCTACGCTTACCATCCCGCATCCCGCCCCACAACCTTGATGTAATTGTCACGTCACTAAACTGGTGGCTGTTCCCGACAAGTTCTTCGAGCCCGCGTTCGCCAGAAAAATCGCTCAGCGTCTCGGTCAATGGCCATGCACCGTCTCATCTGATCGTGTCTTATCTTGTCCATGGAATAGTGTACGTTGATGATCCAGCTGTATGGCTTCATACTGACCGACATGTTCAGCTGCTGGGATGTTCAGACTCAGGACGTAACCTGGGTCATGAATTTGAACGGATATGCGTAAGTGATCAAATGGAATCAAGTCACCCGGCTGTCTCTCACATTCATCCGGAAGAAGCGCCTCAGCAGCTCTGTCCGCTAGCGGTCGCCTTCTCGCAGTAAACAATTATCGCAGTGGATTTGACATATATGAAGTCCCGTCCAACGCATCTATCATTTCGATCCCTCAAGAGCGATTGGAAGAGCCATCATCTGTGTTATTCATACACGAGGACGAGGCTTTGCTAATCGGCCAACGACCTGACAGCGCTTCGATTTGGGATGTTCACACAGGTACTGGAATACAGCCCTTGGTGGATCAACGTGAGTTCCTATCCACTTAGAATCCAATCGTCATTCGTTTCGAACTGAAAGGATGTCGTAGCAGGAACAGGCATGTCCGCTCCACTGTGTTCAATAGCTGTCGGTATCATTCCTTCTTTATCCTAGCACAAACTCTCAATCGTCCTCAGGGAAGAATTGTGGCCTGCGACGTCTTGCAGATCGCTGTTGGAAGCGATAGAACTTTGATGCTTTGGGAGACAGTGGAGCTCGTTTCATAGCGTAGAGTGAATCATGCGTCTATCATCTATCCTGGCCATAATCTTTGAATAGTGTCCTCAGGTGTCTATTCCATGATGGCGGGTCATTTTAGAAGCAGTATGCGTATGTAATACCGAGTACCGTGCAAATCGTCTAATGTTTCATTTTCCTCTGATACTTCTTTGATATCCACTTCGGGATTCCGTCGCTGCTGATGACAAAAATACGCGATTTAGAGTTTCCCGGCTTCTCTTCGTCTCCAAGGCGAAGATTGGCCCACACGAGGCGGCCATTCTCGACGGTCCTTCTCCAGGCTTGACAAACTTTCCCATTGGCCTGGTCCTTGCGAAGGTATAGGATTCCCCTGGGAACATCGACGTTTGCTGGGATCGGCGGAGGGGAATCAAATTTGCCTAATGATTCATACCAACGAATTGTTGTTCTGCTTCTGGTCACTGTATGGGAGTGCAACTTCTCATATAATGACTCGACGGATGTTCCCTATTTAATGTAAAGTTGAGCGTTTGAACGAAGGACGTAATTTGACGGCGTACTGGCATTGGGTGAGGAGGCTGAGAATGGCCATGTCCATCCTCTACGAGCTCATGATTGCATGCTGAGTGTTTGCCAACACGCAGTTGAGATTTTCTGCAGCACAATCGTCTAAATAATCATGAAGCTGTGGCGTCGTAAAAAGGCTTACTCGTGCAGGAGCGAAGGCGGACTTAGCATAGGTATGCTTCTTTACTCAGGTATACACTGGTTTATAACAAGAGTGGACGTACTGAGGGGTGATAACAATGTCGGATTTCGCAAGTACATTCCTGCAAGTATTGATCAAAATGGAGGTTAAGACTAGTTTTTGCTCTTACTTATTGAAGACTGGGTGACTTGTAGCACTAAAATATATCGATTTACATCAGATCGCCATAGTCATGTAAGTACTGACCCAAGCCGCCCAGAATTATGCACTTCAAGCTGAGAGACATCTCTGCTTTCTTCTTCTTTAGGTCTAACACGGATGCCCACAGAGAGACCACGTACGTTGTGGATAGAAGTCGCGGAAATCGCCGAGAGGCAGAAGGTATTTCATGTCTTATCCCAGTTACTTGCGATGGTAGGGGTAAAGCGGCTGCGACTACGCTTCCATCCTCTGAGGAAGGAATAGTTAACGTAAATCGAAGGTCCCCGGGATGGTGTTGAGTGAACATAGACATGGTCGAAGAAAACTGCCTTGTGAAGGCAATCTGAGGATTTCGCGGTGGCGGACCCCGCCGCGGGACGCTTACGTAAGCCAAATACCCCTATCTTGTCTGAAAACCCTTAAGTTGGGCAATACGTCTTGCTTCCCAAGCCTCCGTACGCAAACTGCGGCAGTGCCTTTTCCTCCGTAAAAATGTGTCATCTCTGGACCTGACTGTCGGCGGCACATCAGCAAGATATATGAGTCGGACTTTGCACTCGAAAGGTGGGTTGAAGTCTTATTCTATGCGCTTGATGCTCATTACTACTCATATGTACTCCGTACTTGATTAGGTTAAAAGATTAATCGGCATTGATGTAGCTTGTATGCCCTTTCGGGGCGCCGCTACATTGATCCCCGAGCAAACTCTGTGATCTGGACGGCATCGAGCATGTACGTACGACGTCGATGTTCTTTCTACGCCGCTCTTGAACTTGAATAGATCAACATGGCATTGTGCGTCCCCTATCCCAAATTATATCCCTGAATCATCCTGATAACCTTCCAGGGGTATTTTGCTCGCGTAAATAAAGTCGATCTCAATGGTTATTACGCTGAGGCAAGTGAATGGTTATTACGTTGCTCAAGGCAACCCCGCATGCACTAGAACAAGCCGCTGACCTTGATGAACGACGCAAAACATAGGCACGCGTACTGCAGCCCCGGATTACACGTGACGCGTGAAGCTTCACATGGCCCCCTCTTCGCTAGACTCAGAGTCGACGCGTCCGTAAGCGCCTAGCGCTCGCAGCAAAGCCCCGCAGAAGTGACGGCACTTCTGTTGCTCGACCCGCCCTATCACTTTGATTGGGCTCGTGAGGGTAATGGTTCTGCCTGGTGCACCCCAAGGCGGGCGTCCCAAGAAGCCTAGCGATACTTTGCAGGATGGATGATGTGCGGCGCGCATGGAACGATTGAGCCAATGAGAGCGCATGAGCCTGCGGTCGCTTGCATGCCTTAGGGGAAAGAACTAGGTGCCTTCGACAGTTACCGTGATGGGGTATGCAGTTAGATTGAAGATAACGGTTGGGTCAACTTCGAGGCTGGAGGTACAACTGTATTAACCAGCCAAATAGGGGGAAATAGAAATAAGTATGTACTCTAGTGGTTTGGTGAAAGTGTATATGTTTTGTTCATTTGTAGGTATAAGAGGTACTGGCAAAGCGAATTTGAAGTTGCGAATGGTATTGTGCACGTCACGGGCAGCGCACCTTAACGAGGTGGAAAATGCGTTCGTTGTACAGGAGCGAATGTGTTATGCAAGATGTCAAAGAAAAACCGTAGCGGCTTTTTTGGTCCGCATTGATCAAGAGGGTGTGGTCATGTCCGAAAGGGGCGATTATGGAAACCATGTCAACGTCGTTAGGTGCAAACTGAATCTGCCATCTGTAGTGGCCTGCGTAATCACTGAGTAACGACTAGCAGGCAGGTTAATGCATATTACTCACAGGACTGCTCAGCGTGCCACGCATCGGCAACTACACTCAGCCTCTCGCCTTTCAGGCAGCTGATATCAACCATAGCTGGATGAATATCACGCGGCAGGGCAACGCAAAGGGAGCGCGAGTACGTCCTAGAAGTGACCAACATCACGGGGACCTTTCCGATGGATGGTGAACAGCGCTCTCCGCTAGTGAGTAACGGTGTTGGCGGGCGACCGTATGATAGATTACGCTCGGAAGGGCTGAAGCAGTGCGGGCTGAGGGTGGATAAAGTAACCAATGGGGAGCCCTGCTGCCTGCGGCACCGCTGGTCTGAAGCTGATGCCACGGGAGCGATGCTATGAGCAAAATCAGCGCTGACGGGGTGTTTCGTAGAGGATGCGCAGTATAGAGCAAAGTCAACACCGTTGGAACTGGCAGGGTCTATGAGCGCCGGCGAGAGGCATGAGGTCGGGTTCCTTGGGAGGTACTGGGGAGATGAGAACGAAATTTTAAAGAATCTTCAGAGTTCGGGCCGAGAGGGGTGACACCGGTGAAACCTGAGGCCTGAGGCCCGAAGTGGCCGGCACGAGGCGTCGTTGACTCGACTGTACTTATGATTGGACGGGACTGTTTGGGCGTTCGGCGTAGGTGGCATTTGGGTGGCATCCCTTTGGAGGCGGGAGTTAGTTCCTATAATGAGCTGCGGACCCCGGAAACGTCCATTGGGGGCTCACCAGCTTTCACCAGCGGGGAATCGACGTCATTGATATTCGTCACCCATATGGTCCCTATCCCATCCTCCACCAATGTGAGGCGGGCACTTCCTAGTAGTTCTTATCGAACGAAACACATCCGGAGCTAGAGCTTATTTCGCCCCACACGCTCAACGGTCTATATGTTAGTAGTTCACTATTTTGTGTTACTCACGCACAACTCACACAGACCTAGAACGTGGTGGTGAGAGTTAGCCATACTGTGCTACACACAAGATGATTTGAGAGCTTGATTAAGAACACAAAATTGACGTTGCCCATAAGACGTATGTTGTAAATTCCAAAGGACAGTAAGTTACTTCTTTGCCTATCGTTAAAGGAGGGCCTACCCTCTCCTTCGCTCTCTGAGTAGCCCCACTGGCAGAACTCCCAAGGTCGTTCGAAAGCTCCCTTGCACTTCGCCCAAGATTTTATACAGTTCACTTAAGAGAACAAAGAGACAGTTTCCAAGGCACTGTCAGTGCCAGCCTTCTCGCTGATATCTCTGTTGAACGTTGAAGACGTTAATCCACTAGAGGATAAACAGGAGCACAACGACGTGCAACGGATTTTTCATCTAGGTGCCAAAATCAATACACCCGCTGATCCAGGGATGGCCGACAACCTGCATGTCAATGTAGATGTGTCCGAGGTCGAGGTAAGGCGGTATCTTATTTCGAGCAAGCTCTACAAGGGCTTTCTAGGTCAGTACGTGAATGTGGGGACGAGCTTGCTGATCTTCAAGAAACTACTACAGTAACCATTATACAGGTACCAGTCGTATATGTCTTGTATTCATAGCTGCAACTTTTAGCTTGATCTAGGTAGATCACAGCGACATGTGCACATATAACAATGGAAGAAGTAAATGACCATAAATACTGCAAGGCCTCGAAGGTTTATAAAGGATCCGCTGGACTCGTTTGCTCGAAACGAGCCATCAACTTGCTGAGCAGCGGATTCCTTTTTAAGAGGAAGAGGAAGGGCCGCTTCCAAGGTGTACTGTGAATAAATCAATGAATCTTCGATTGCATATCGAATTGACTTCCAGATCTATCAAACTTACCTCGCAATTCTTGCATATTTCCCTGGTTTTATCACTCTTCACAGCCTGATCCGCGATCAATTCGTGGTGTAATCGACTTTGATGAACAGACCTTTTCAGATGTAACATTCCTGGCAGGAAGCTTCTTCCTCGGCGTGAACTCCGGAGGAGGGTCACGAGTCTGGAGTCTGGTGCCTCCGGAGACTATTTCGTCAGTAGGAGGTTTCCCCTAAATAGCGAACCATAAGTGCAAGTTGATGGCGAGCAGCGAGAAAAAAGAACACGCACCCTGTTACGAGAAGGCTTATTCATGCTGGCCCCCTTGAAGCTCTTGCAGGCTTCGTTGTCGCTATCGTCGCTATCGTCGCTCTTTATAGCGTTAATAAGGTCTGAGAAGTCTTCGGCCGTAGATTGGTCAGAAAAAGTCTGATACCATGGGCTCAGCATTCAATGGGCTCAGAACATCACCGGACTAAATAACCTGACCTTATCTCCGTTGGAAACCGTGCCAAGTTGCCAGGCTATACGGACACTGTCCTGATCTTCTTTTCTTAGGTGTTCAAAGCCTTCAAGACTTTCGACTGATTTGAGAACCTTCTTGACGTTGCTGATGACATCAGATGTAGTACAACCCCAGTGACGCCACGAGCTATGTGAGAAATATCAGATATGCAGGGTTAACAGTACGTGGTGGGGCTCATACAATGCCTTCTTTCCTTCGGGAAGACTGTATTGAGAGCCTAGTCGTAGATCTCCTTTGGGAATGGGAGTGCCTGTACCTGCGTTAGAGGGTACAGCCCAAGTCTTGACGATGTACATTGCTTACCATGGCACGGCTGTGGACCTGCATTATATCACTGAGAATGTCGAACACTCGCTGAGACGATATCGGCATACCTTTACATTTAGACCTACCAGTAGATGCATAACCTATGCAGTAGTATCCCCTCTTCTGGTTCCCGCTGTTAGACATCTCGCGTTCGAGAGAATAAGGCTCAAAGGAACACGGTATATCCCGTGAAGGAGTACGATTTGGGGCCGGCGCAACCCGGGTTTTTCTGATCATATATATCAGTACTAATTCTATGTGGCTGTGCTGCTGCGATCGCCTTGTCATGAAGCTTTCAAGCTTCAAGGGTCGCCGTGAAACACGCCTTCGCCATACTCCGTGCAGACTTCGCAGACTTCAAGCGCATCTATACAAGATAGGTCACACAAGAGTTATCACAAATTTCCAATTTTGCTTCTACACAAAGTATACTGATAAAAGCGATAACGACGCGAGGAAATAAGAACTACAGTAGCGTTAAAATTCGTAGAAACAGCCGCGGTATGGCAAGGTACGTGCGTGCACCCCGCATGCGCAATTGCCGACCGGGACGTGTGCATGCGTACACAAAGATCAAGGAACGGATATCTAAACGACATAAGCTACGTCATAATTGATAGAAAACCAGATATCGACAGGGTACGCACGCGATACTTCTCAAAGGTGGCAAATCGAAAGAGTCAAACTTGTGGAACTTCCGCGGGGTAGTCCCTGACAAGTTGTTTTATGCGCGACCAGTCTGGTGCTACCGCTAGCCTCTTCTACACCTAAGAGCCAATATAGCATGCATTATATCATCCTCCGAGTTAATTTCGTACTCACCATCATCTTGGGTACACTCAAATGTTGGTACACGAGGAAGCACCGGTGTCTTCGGCCAGTAGGGTCCGCTCCGAAAGGGAACTGGTTACTGGATCACCCCCGCCCCCCCCCCCCCCCCCCATATTGGCGCGCGTATGCAGCGAGCGCCTCTCCGAACGTTGGGTAGCTCTCCTGAGAGCCAAAGGAGACACCTTCGACACGGCCTTGATGTCGAGGCTATATCATATCCCTGCCGGCATAGTATATACAAAACTGGCCAGTTATGAAACAAGCTAACCTCCTGCCCGCGACGAATGGCATAAAACTTGCGTGCATGCCCCCAAGCCACTTGAAGCTGCTTGGATGAGGTATAGGCGGCTCAAAAGTCGGATCAGGCTGCAGACGAGGTGGAGAAGGTGGAGCCTGGGAAGTCGGATGAACCGGTGGAGGATGCTGACGAAGGTCGGGAGACGGAGCGGTAGATGGACGAGTAACCGTGCACTCACATGTTGAGGCCTGAGGGACAGAGTCTTGCGATCGGCGAGGTCGAGCGCGAGGGGTAGATAGGACTGACTGGATAGGTGCTGGAGACGGAGATGCCGGACGTTGAGGTGAAGACGGAGCTATAGTATGTAATGACGGTGCGAGTCGAGGAGCGATGGGCTTGTGTAAATGTTGGCGAAACTGTTGTTGTTACAGTAGCCGTACGAGTGCGAACAGCTGTCGGCGTGGCAGGAAAAGGCCGAGGAGGGGATATACGGCCTGCGGAGGTAAGAAAAGTGACCAAATAGACGATATAGACTAATTACATACTAATCGAAGGCGTGCTCAACGGTACCGGTGACCCCGTTGCACTACTTTCTGATGTTTTCAAGCCAGCGCGATTGTGTATCTGGACCATCGCGATGTCGCAATATTAATCGAACTGGGAGATGGAAGCCAAAGCGAGGAGAACGTTATAATTAATATTCTAGCTATAGACTTGTGTGCGGTAAACTCCGATTATCGATCACGTGCATTGGGAAAGGGCTCCGGTTATTTCGGAGCAACCGTAGAAACCAAGCTTCATCATGTCGCATAGACAATCCCATCCACACAACATCGTCCAGCCGGCGCCTGAAAATATGCTCCCAGCCGTGTTAGGCTGAAACAACACTGGTACTCTACACGGAGTTTGGCGTTGGCGTGACCCCACTTTAGGTATCTGCCTGGTCCGAACAAACACATGAGAAAAAATAGTTTCCGCGTTGCACAAGTACTGCAACGCAATATATGCGCTGCCGACCGCGCTTCTGGGGGCTTCGGGCGACGACCGCGGGCGACCGCGCCGACATGGGGAAAGAAAGCATAACCTAGGAAAGGTTGTTTTCGAACTCCGACGCCATGCGCTTCATGTCTGCATCGCAGTGACAACAACCTTGTCACAATTAAAAACAAGTTTGGTTGCGCACCTTCCCATACTATTTCTTTCCCCTGCAGTGTTCCATCACGCCGCCCGATTTCGCCTCAACTCTAATCCGGCACGCATGAGCTTACTCCCTCTCTTTCAAAAGGACGCGTTCGTGAGTCGAGATAACGATCATGGTGAGGACATCAGAGGACAGGCGGTGACTGCTATTATTGCGGATGATGGGAGTGGGCATTGTAAGTAATTGATTCAGCAACCGGATTGGTATTACAATTTTGACACTTCTCTAGACAACCTAACGCTGAGGATGGAATCAGAAACGCTTTTACATGTTGTTATTTCTCCTGAGTTGCTTATACACGGGTTTCCCATGAAGGTAGGTCTACGAAATACGGCAGTTTGAATCATATTACTGAATATTAGTCACAGCTTCCAGGGCACTGGGTGATCCGCGAAAGTGTAGATGCAGTATACACCTGGAGATTGACATTCCCGGATCCTACGGGATTACTGCGAGATCACCGCAAATTTGGGGCTATAATAGACGCTTTCCGGCGCACTGGGCGCAAGTCTCATCGCTAAGGATTCTGGTGTACAACGGATAACCTCTGAACAGATCGTGCTTGTGGATAACGTATATATAGTTTTTGCGATAACTGAAGCCCTGATGCGGCCGCGGGAAGAGATTTAAAATTTAAGGGCTGGTGTGCGCCGACGCAAGAAATGATGGTAATTCAATCCAGCACCGATCCTGTACTACCGCAGATCATACAATTGATCACACCTCACTAAATAGCGATATATATGTTCTTGGGCGGCTTGTTGAGACTGAGTGGAAGGCATCAAAAAAAAAACGAAGCAAGGCTTAATTAGACCTAATTACTATTCAAGGACTTGGAACCACTTGCATTGATATTGTGTCGCGGTTGGCGGCGGAGCTACTCGTTAGCGTAAGTCGTTACGGTGAGCTTTGTCGTCAATTCATGCCTTATAACCGCGTCAGCTGCTACTTGTAGCTTTAATTCAACGTGCGGCACGCTGAGCACTGTGCCAAAAAATCTGCTCCGTTCTTTATTCAGATGTTCTGCAAGGCTCCAGCAGGCCCCTACTATATATTGGCAAATATTAATCCGCTGACTAATAGGAGAGTATCCGGTCTTAGACATCTAGATAACCGAGTATATAAGTGAGTTGTTCAATAAACCCTAGAACTGGCACAGATTGCGTAGTTCTTCGAGGGAGAAGAGGATAAATGCCGGGCTGGAGCAAATTTAGTAATACATGTTTGCCATCGCGCCAATCTGGTTCCAGAGATGTACGTGCTCTCTATAGGTTTTGATCATTTGGCGTCGCTTGTCAGTGGTTAAATGTACGTGTGGCCTTAAAGGTAACGGGCATATAAATGTAGAGCCCAGTGGCGAGTGTCACTTCGGCACCCACAATTGCAGACTCGGATGCCGCTTTCCAACACTCACTCTCAAACCAATGCCTTCGCCGCACTTCAACGAGAAAGTCAAGGTCGAGCAGATTATAGGACTCTACGTCGAAAGGCATATATAGGCATGCGCGGGTCATAGTCTATGGCACAATTAAGTAGATTTTTCACTGCAAGCGGCCATGTCCCTCACATTAGTAGCATATAGCTTTCATTATTGATTGTCCTGCGTGGACACAAAGCAAAACCATCTCGCCCGAATGGATCCTACGTTCGTCGCAATCAAACTATTGTCGTTGCCAGGTTAACCAGTTGTTACAGGGAAAATCGTACTGGACAGTTGACATTCGTGAATGAAAGTATGGCAATATCATCATTCAACTCTTACTCTGGTTCAACTCGACAGAAATCCATGGCCATTTCGGCCGGGTTATGAATGACTGCATAGCTTTGACTTCATATAAGCTCAGCCAGTCGCGGCGGGCCTTAGTTTCTGACTTCGAAGGCGTGCAAGAGAATGAATGGGACGAGGCTCGTCTGGTCTCCGACCTTGATGGGCAACAGTGGATTGAGTTAGATTAGGCATATCAATCCCCTGCAGAAGAAACGCGTTAGAGGTCTTCTTATTTGCATCTCTTACGGGAACTGGAGTAGCACGTAAGGTGAATGTGGATAATCATAAATAAAGAAGAACATCATTTCTGAGTTCCCGAGACAGAGCTCGTGCTCAAGTTCGACAGCGACTCGTAAATCCGTCGTGTTGTTGATGAACGATGATCACCGCTGTACCTGCGGTAAACAGTGTATCAAGCTTAAAGAATATGATAGACCACTACTAGTACTAGTGACGAGGTCGATTTGGATGGCAAGGCATAAGGGAGGGTTTACCGTCGTTTGATATCGTGACCTCGACCGTGATCGGCGTTCAAAGGTCTGGAGGATGGCGCTTCCTACGGTATACATATATCACTGCCGACCCGAGTAGAAGCGAAGCCTGGTCAAGCCTGAGGGCGTGGGGACGGTGAACGGGCTGCCAGTGGTCAGGCCGATCAGGGACTACGACGGAGTCAACCTGCGTGAAATCAGTTCAGAACCGTGCGCTTGGCCGTGAGCTACTAGTACATGTTCATTTCTTGTACTCTGACAACCGATCGCGGCTTAGCGAACTTGGTCGCAAGTACTAAGTAAAACCTGGCTTACCAATCGTGAGATCAACTCCCCAGTTCCCATTATATATGCATTATGCTCGTTCAACTGGAGTACTGGGGCCCAGCTGACGCGTCACTCCCACCTTAATGCCGTGCTACTAAAATGTGACCAAAGCTGACCAATTGTGACATAAGTGTAACTTGTGTCCGAACTATGTGCGTGATGCATGGGGCACGGACTGGTTTAACACCACCTACTTGATCATGGACTCTTGTCGCTATAATGTTCTGTGAGATATCCTGGGTTTATGGCCTCTTCGTTTGGTATCAGAATCTTTGGGGTTTGTGATTCGGAGATCACGGTGTCCGCATTGCATCCGCACCGTTCTTCGCCTTGCCTCCCCGTCACACTCAGCATCTTGGGTGATACCGAGGTGTGTAACATCCCCCAATCAACTTTGGCGCTTGCTCACCTTGCATCTTAGAACGTTTGCCATACCGACGTCCGCGACCTCCGCCTCTACCAATGTGTCACGAGCTTGCTCATAATCAAAGACGAACATCGCGACGCTGTCAACGAAGACTCCTTTTTTCTGGCTTGACGCGTTCAAGGGACTGCTGAGCACATCGATCCCCCTTCAAGATGGAAGAGTTTACCAATTAGAATACCTTTTGGATGAAAGTTGAAGCCTCCAAGGTGTGTAATTGTGGAGAATTTATCTCGCCCGCTCATGACACTGTATCAGACGCTGCACTTCCTTCCCAAGGGCCCTGTCGGCGTTTTCCTAACCATCTGAATGTTTTCACGTCTGTAACCCTCCCCGCCAGCGCGTCATCCACCAAGCAACGCCTTGTCACCACCATCCGGCGCGAAGCCCTGACCGCCCTCAAAGCCTCACCGCGCTGGTTGACGATCAAGCGCCTGGAGCCTAAAGCACCAACCAGTGGATTCATGGCTATGCTCAACACGCTCCCTCGACGACACTCATCCATCCTTTTCCACCTGCGCACGGGGCACATCGCCCTCAACAAGTTCCTACCACGAATTGACCCAGCGGTATCTCCGCTCTGCCCCGCATGCCGCTCCGCTCCGGAATCCGTACACCATTTCCTCGCAGCGTGTAACGCTTACCGCCCCCAGCGCGAACGCCTGCAAATGGCGTTGAGAACCACTAGAGCCGTCGACGTCAACGCGCTCCTGCGCGGCCAGAAGCACGTCCGTCCCCTTCTTCAGTACGTCCACGAGACGGGCCGCTTCGCCTCCTCTCTGGGCAACTTAGAGCCTCCCCCCCGGAAAGCCAAGAGTAGCGGCCTAGCCACAGCCACCGAACAGCCATTGCCCCATTGCCTCGTCTCCCGTGGGTAAGATTTCACCTTTGCCTTTCTCTCTCAACCTTTGTCGCGCCCCGCAAATACCTTACCCTACTTACACGGCCGGACCACAATCTACGAACATCCCAACGCCGCCACACCTACTTTCACACCTGCTACCAATGCTTCACTACACTAGAGACTGAACCCGCCTATACCGGCGGCAGAAGTTATTGTTTCGTCCCGATTATAATTTTTACCCCCTCCCCCGTTTTCTCCCTAACGTACGCTAGATTTGTCTACCATAAGGCCTTGCCTCAGAGGACAATAAACGATGATTTTGAACTGAACTGAACGTCTGTAACCCTTATATCCATTCTACAAACGCCACCACCTCTGCACCTATGCAAACCCTCCCACTTCCTCGGATGAGAAGACTATTAGCCTGTCACCTACTCGTCTCAGCCTCCAGCTCCCTTTCCAAGATTGTCAGAACAACCCGCAACGCTAAGCGCCCACATACTCGCGCTCAAGATCTTCCTGGACGGGAGCCTTGCCCGTGCGAGCCATCTCGACCATAGCGTACGCAATTCGTTGGTTAGGGAAGCGATACACGAAACTTCCATAATTTCCATACCAGCAGTCCCGCTCGTCCCCAGTTCGCTTTGATAGTGCTTATTTCCCCATGTCACTGTATATCATTCCCAAAATGAATGGAATATCATAGAACATAAGTAGTTGTTGAAGTGAAAGCAAAATCAAGACTTTTTGAGAGCATCAAGCACCTCGACTGCAAGTACATTACGTACTGGGCTTCTAGTGATTCGTCTTCGACAGAGAGGACATTGTAGCTTAAGTAAGCCACCCTCTAAAAGCTGGATCACAGTCTTAGATGGCGTAGACTTAGGAAGAGGAATTTCCTGAGCCCGATAATACTGTTCGACGGCGTTTTTTGCTAGCTGACGAATGCAATAAATACAGAACGTGTGGCCGCAGCTGAATCTGGAATACCATCAGCACTTAATCTTGTTTAGTTCAAGCAGTAAGAGACGCACGTCCATGGCCTTTGCATCTGTTCTAGACATACCGCACAGGTTATAAGTTGCACAATCTTGCGGCGAACCTAACGTACGTTCGTTAGATCTATGAAAGGTTCACTCATACCCTAGATGAGACCTACATCATCTCTTTTTACACGAGGCGCAGGCTGCAAAACAGCCTTTAATTCTTCGGCCTTTGCTTTGGAATCACCAGATGCCGCATTGGCTTCTTGGAGTTCCTCTGATTCAACTTCGGGTCCTGTAGATGCAACCCCTGACGTCAACTCGTAACAAGACTCGTAAGCAGCCTTGCCCTTCAGACTTAAGCTTAAGGTTCGGGTGATAGAGTTTGTAAGCTATAAGAGATATTTTGAAGTAAGTAAAGGTAAATGCTTCGCTCGTAGCGGAGTGTGATGATCAATCACCTGTTCTATTTGGACGTCCGAGTCGTCTTCACACTCGGGCTTGCGTGGATCAGAAGAGCCTGAGGCAGAAGCTTCTTGTACTTTCTTGGAGCGGGTGTATCTATCCTGAGCATAGTTGGTAGGGTTTCTTGATGGACCAGAAGGCTTATATGCAGAGGCTTCGTGACGGGTTCGCCGGGACGTAGAAGGCATTGGGCCGAGGTGCTGGCACACCAAGTTTAAGCTTTAGCTTTAGCTTCACACCAAGAAGTGGGGGCTGACGCAACATCCGATGGATTATGTAAGCTCTACCAATCTCAGCCGCACCTACGTGAGGCTAAGGCTCGCCCTTGGCTCGCCCACTGTATCCTGGCCTCAGCGAACGTCCTATTGTAATGAAAACGTCCGAATAAAGTGCCATTTTTTGTAGGAATATAGCACAGTGCTTTAAATATATGATCACTACCGTTAGCCCGGCTTCACCCATTCTTCTCCATCAAGGTCCGACACCAAACGGGCCTCATTCCATTCGTTCTCTTGGATGTCTGCAAAATCAAAGGGAGAGCACCCCCGCAGCTCGCTGGGGGTACCTGAAGCTAAAACGAGACAATCGTGCATGACATGACCAAAACGACTATGAATATCTGGTGATTTGAACCACAATATGAATCTAGCAATGGTCTTGTCAATGCCAAATTCCTTGTCACGTATGTCGATGACCCAGCTTGACTCCTCCTAGAATAACGGTCAGCCCGCTCAGAAAAGAATATGTACAACATTCTTACCTCATATGTCTGCGAATAAACCTTCCAATCTGGTGTTATGGTTTTGCCCTGTTTACATACAGGGCTCTCAATGATAAAAGCTGAATATTGACATCCAGCGACTCAGGAACATACTCAGTCAGGAGGACTGTACACATACTTGTTCCATATATTATCACCGTCGCATGTCTGTACGTTTCAATGAAGCGTCCCATTTGTTGCTCGACCTTGACCTTTCCATTGAAGTGTGGTGGCGGTGGCGGCATGTCAGTCGAGTGAATGAGACGGGTCCTGGCCATTTTCGTGGCCTCTCGGCAAATCTGATGGGATACTATCATGCGTATTGGTTGGTATCATGCGCCCGTTGACGCACCGACAGCTTCAAGGTGTATCAATATTGCTGGTGCTGCTGGCTACTACTAGTAACTTGCAATTCCGAGCTTGACGAGCGTGCCATCCTGCATCTCGGAGCAGTCCGGACATCGGACAGGCTAAGATATCGTATTTTCCATCAATATTTCAAGGCGTCGCGCAACTTGGTGTGTGATGGATTTTCACAAGTGGGAACACCGAAGACTTGGCTGGTACTATACAGTATATCAGAGAGAATTCTGTCACATTTTGCCGGTCTCATGTGCGTCGGTGCGCCGTTGTCACAACGTTAACGTTTCTCTCCTCTCTCGGTCGGCGCTTTCTCGCTCACCAAAACAGCCAACGACCCGGTCAACGGCGAGTAACGTAGGTAAATTTTAACAACACATATGTTTTCTTACGATTAAAGGTTAGTATATACCCCCTCCTTCCAGATGGGTCACACGGGTCTACCAAGCCCTCTGGAGCCCAGCCAAGGACTCGTAAGCTCTCCTATACGCCCTCAAGCTCTTCGAGGGACTCACAAAGCGACGTAATCTCAGCAAAGCTCACGTACTCAGCACGGTGGTCAGCGCACCACACGTTCTATGACATCCGGTCACCGTCGTACGAATAATCCAGGACACGAAGCTGATAATGAAGATTTACCGTCTGTTCCCAGCAAGCGCCGGCGGACAACCCCGGCGACATTCAATACCAAGCCAAAACCTAATACCTCTAGGAAACAATACAAAGACCATCGTCAGCGGGCTTCCACAGCCGAGCCGGCTCCAGCGCTACCTCTTCGCCGGTCTCGTCGACGTGCCGAGAAAGACTTCAAAGTTGCTGATGTCCGTCCGTCGAAACCAAGTGCTGTACTGAAGTCACATACAAAACATCAGGGTTTGTCCATTGCCTTGAATCTAATTACTCATCAGTCCAACAGCTTATTGATATTCTGAACTTAGCTGAACAAGGCAAAGCGAAAATCAGTGGTGACGCAAGCGCTTCAGAGTCAGCAAATCGCACCAAGAATATGGTCTACGCTCACGGCGAAGAAATCACTCATCGTGTTACCCCCTTGAGTGACGCATCAGTGATCGCTGTAGAGTCTGAGTCCAGTCTCGTTGCATTCAATGAAACAGCCGATCTGACACCGCCGCAACCTGAAGAGACTCCAACAGAAATCTGCACAGAACGGTCAGACGAGAAGACTCCCATTGGGAGGAGCCAGCCCGAACAAGAAGCCCCCATTGACTTTCCATTGACCGAAGACATCATGGAAGCTCCACCTGCACTCCCTCTGCCATTTCCGGCCCTTCCAAGTGTCGCAGAGGGGTTGGATGGCCAGGTTCAGGACGACAGTATTGACCAGACCTTGGATTGGGCAGCACTGTGTTTGCCTGACCCAGGCCTTTCAGATAAAAAAGAACCGGTACGTGTCTCGACAGGTGACTTACGTGGAACTTGCGCTTCAACAATACCCCAATGTCATCACCTTTCTCACATGTTATGACGACCTTGACGTGCTCAGAGTGCTAATATCCATAATGTCACCGCAGGATCCGATCAATCTTCCGCAAGCTTCCATAGTTTATGCAGCCAACACGGCCCGACAGGAATATCGCAGGCACCTTGTCGAAGCATACAAGTATTACAATAGGATTCTGGCAGCTCAGCATGCCCTTCAACGCCACCGGCATTTTTTGTCCGCTCAATCTGACATCAATAAGAAGAGATCGTTATCGAAGATACCGAAGAAAATTGCTACAGCTACAACAAAGGAGGTGAAAGAGCGTGCAATGAAGAGACTGGCCCGGTGGCAACAAGAACAGGAATTGCATGCGTCTATGGAGCGCTTGGGGAGTTTGTCGCTTGAGTAGCCCCTACCAGGATTAGTTACCAAGCTTGTAAACTCATGGACGTACTCAATCTAATTCTATCGATGGACCAGCAAATCGGCGGACACCAGACAAAGCATATACATTTGTGGGAAAACATTTGTCCCGTCACATTCTCATTATCTGAGAAATCCTGGCATCGCACCATTATCAGAAGGATGGCGGAATTCCACTCGCTTTAAACATGAGCAACAAAGCACGAGGGTGACACATCTACCAGAGAACGCTGCTTCCATTCATATCCTCCCACTCCCTACATGTAACTTCGCAGCCAAGGCTACATGCGAGACCTGATCATCCAGTGAAACACACTATCGCTCATGAAAAGAACCAACTTCGTTTGGCGCTCCAAAACACGGCGGCAGTCCAGCTAACGCGAACAATGGGACAGGGGTAGAGTGAGATATAATATAATCATGAGAAGCAGCCTGCGAATGAGGGTAAAGCATAATCGAACCCTACTAAGTAGGTATTGACCACTGGAACTAGAAAAGAAGGGATCCGAACAACGAGGGTATCCGATGCCAGTAAGCATGGGAACTATATAGATAAATGAATCCATGTAGCAGGCGGAGTAACGAGAGGGCTACCACCAGATGTAAACGATCGAGTCCGGGAACAAGACATAGGTTACGGTCCCGCTGTGGGTATAGCAGGTGCGGGAATATGGACTCTGTCATACTCTAGACAGCGCGGCTCCGCTCGAGCCAGGGTTTGTTCAGTACGCTGGGCCTGGATTGATAAGAAACGCCAGAGTTCTTCGGACTTCATCGAGACCTTGCGGCCGAACTCAGCGTGCGGGCAGCGCGACAGATGAACGAGACGCGGTCCGAAATCCACCGACTGGTGGAATAAGGCGCCGCGGGACTGAGTGCGAATGATGGGGACAGCAGTGCGAGCATCGGCAATGGCACCCCCGGCGACAATACTGCCATTGGCATGAGCTGAGGTCGGGTGTGGGCATCGTTAGCATCGTCACCCATCATAGCGTAGAGGTGGCCGAGGCTCCGGGGGGTGCTTGACAATCTCGAACTGTTGTTCCGTGAAGACTCCAGCAAAACTATCGGCATTGAGGATCATGTCGTCGCTGGGTATGCGACTGCTACAGGGAGGGGTCCATCCTTGCTAGCCTTGGTTCGGTTCATATCGTCACAACAACAATATGTCTCCTTGGCGATGGCGAGCTGAGCGCCGGTGACCATCTTGACCTGTATGCCGAGGAGAGCGTGATTGGTACATTCGTGAACGGGGTTGTATGATTCGAGCACCAGAAGAAGATGCCACTAACATGACCAAGGGTTGCGGGTGAAGGAACTAGCCAAGCACACGAAGTTTTCAGCCAGGACAGGCGGTAAGAAGGGTTCGGCGGCCCGAAACGAGAAGACGTGAGTGCTGGCGTAAGCGTCATTCGCTTCAGCCAAAGCGGGGGTGTTAGACCCAGAGGGAAGGGGGAGCCATTTGCGCTGGCGACTGCGCTTCAAGGGGCTTCGGGCGACGTGTGCGACGTCGAACCCACGCAGGCGACTGCGTTCATGGGAGGGAAAAGCCAGGTGTCTATGAGCTTGCGTGTCCTACGGTATTTTTCAAAGTCCGATTCCCACCATCGTGACTTACCATGAACCAACCATGAACATGCGATCGGGGACATGCTCTACGAATCTGTGCGCCTATCTGAATCTGCTCGAAACCGGGGTCGGCGGATAACTCGGTTCAAATCGCGTCAACGTTGGCCACCCATTGAACGTTTGAAAGTTGAACATTGATTAGGCAGCAAATCTCTCTTGATAAGCAAAGTAAGCTGCTCAGGATGCTGAGGTTGCGCCGTCTGACTGAAAGTTGCCTTAATTCTTCCGCAGTCCCGGTAGCGCAGTTCTCCTTACTGTTGAGGTGTCACAGACGTCGGGCTTACAAAGGCAACTCCCATATATCCTTCATCATCAGCTCACAACTAACTCGTACGAATCATCCAAAAGGCTACGTAGGCAATCTCGTTGTGACCTGTTTCATCGCGCTTCCAGGCGTATTCACCACGGCCCCCATCCTTCCGCAGAATCAGAAGCTGAAGCGCTATGAAAGACTCATTGCATGGCCGTACGTCCCCCCGCCCACCGACGGGTCGGATAGACTTGATAGGCTGATCACGGTCCTCTCAACTGGGATGCAGGGCGCAGAGCATTTGCCTCCAGAGGCAGCATATTCAGTCAAGTACGCACTGAAATACTAGGCTTTGTTTTACATAACCAGGTTTCATGGCCCGGCCATGCGGGGAGGCCGATCCACATCAAGGAGACACTTGATTTCGTAGGAGACTGTCATGGACTCCCCTCTGACATGTCCTCGTGATCGCCATAGCCCATCTTGTTCACCTTGTCAGTCGACCTCGCTCGTGAGTAGCAAGCGCGATCTATGCAAGGCTAAGGAGGTAAGCTATCTCTTTCTCCCCAGCTCGCCTCGACCACTTACTTTTAGCTCGCGAGGGCTACCAAGGACACATAAGATGTACTTGAAGATCTACATCTCCCTTTCTCTTCTCCCTCCATTAGCGACATCCCCCCCTGTCCTCCATCCGTTCCTCCCACTCTCTCACCAAATGTGTACTCCCATTATGCAACGGGTTGCATGTCATGAGCCGATAATAGGACCCTCGCACACACAATCTCACCAGGCAAACAGTTTTCTCGCACCTCCGGTACCCGCGACCATATGCGAGCTGAATGGTGAGTCCAAAAGCTCCATACTTATTTATCCCTTTCTTCCCACTGGCTCGACGATCGCTGACTTCGGGCGCTTCGCCAGCGAAGCCCACCGCCTACTAGCTCTGGTGCGCCGTCACGATGATCAATTCACCCATAGTACGAAGATAAGTGCTTACAATGATGTTCTTTCCGCACACGTCCATCATGATCGAAGTTACCATGCTGGATGAGTTTCCCAACTAATTGCTGCTTGTATTCGTGACCAACACATCTTCCCTCTGCTCGCTGTCCTCCCAATCTTCATTTCAACATTGGATATGTACACAGACACGAATGTAGCGCCCTACTATTCGATAGTAATCTCTTTCCGAAAAAGCGCCTCTCCAATCTCCTTTGACTGAACCCGTTTTTCCTTGAGTCTTTCCAAACCATGTTGGATACTCTCTAAATGCACCGTTAAAGGGACGCGTCCACGTGTAAGGTCTGGAGCAGCAACCCTCTCTCGTAAGTCCTCCATGTCCTCGTTCATCATATTTAAAGTCTGCAATGCTGCGATGATGTGTGCAAGTGCCCGCTTCCTGTACTCGCCCAGATGATGAAGTAGGGCAAGTTTGTCATCATAGGATCGAACCTCCTGCCTATTACCACCCAGAACTGTCCAAAGGTGAGCTAGTAGCTCATCCTTCTCGCGAGTGACCGAGCCAAATTCGCGCACGACAATTGCCTGAATAGCAGCTAGATCTTCTTCTAGCACGGTGAGGTCGGCAAGGGATATTTCGGCCTCGATGATGAGCCGTGCGATTGCCGCCGAAAGTGTTTCCATGGCGTCTGTAAATGCTTCGAGAACCATTTCACGAGACAAGGTGCCTCTAAACGCAGGAATTAGGGCAACGAGAGCGAAACGAGACTGCGTATTGGCGTGAGCCTCTTGAACAATTTGCATTGTATAGCTGTTAACAGCTGTGACACTGTGAGATTATCAGCACTAGTCTATTTTTTGTCTAGCGAAGCAATGAAAACGTACTGGTCGACGGCACCTCCTACTTTGGCCCCTAGTCGTGTAAGCCCTTTCGCCGTCTTCTTTGCATCTTTCACGAATGCATCGAGAAGATCAGCAAGCAGGTCGCGACTCTTCAAATCGCTGTTTCGTACAAGCAAGCTGAGATCGCTAGTCACAAGCTCAGCCTTGCGCACTTCAAGAGACAAGCCGACGCCACCGATGGCGTTAGACATCAAATGATCGAAAGTGCCTTCCTGGATACGCATAAGTTCTGGAAAGTCAATCTGCTGCGGTTTCCTTGACTGATCTCCCGAAATGTTTGGCCTGGTGTCTAGTGAGTGAGACTCAAAGGTTTGGGTAGTGCATAGGAGGCTAGAAGATATTCCAGGAACAACACATAGAGGGGATAATGCCGTGCGTATGGTTTCCGAGATTTGAGCGGTGGCCCATGCAAGCATCCATATGAAAAGAAAAAGGGACAGTGGTCGCCGGAACGCACGGACGGCGGGGATAGCAATGTCCATGGCATATCTGAGCGTATGGTAAAAACCATGTCGAAACGTCGCTATTGCTGACTCGATAGTAGTCGCACGTAAGTATGGACGATTTTTGATGTGTACATGCTGGAGTGGGAAGGGAACCAAGTTAGGAGACGTGGGGGAATGCGAGGAACGAGGAGGACGAGGCAGGTTGTGTTTCGCTGTGTTCCGTTTTGGGCGGCGTAGTTGAAATATCGCAGCTGATACCCTATTAACACCTGAAGGCAGTTTTCCCGATTGTGGCTTGCCACTGGGAAGACTATCATCCGAGATATCTTCCCAGATACTGCTGTTGCGGTCCTCGGCAGTTACAGTAGTACTAGTGGGCTTGGAATTCTTTAGAATACAAGCAGTGGGAAACTGCGTTAGGTGTATTGTAGGGGGTATAAATAATGTTTCGTACCTCCGGACCCACTGAGTCTAGCATTGGTAGGATAGTAGCAGCGCAAGGCTTGGGAGTAGCAGGGTTCAAAGGGTGTAGAATTTTAACCCGACTTTTGATCGTCCTGCAAATTTGGAGCGATAAAACACGGATGCATTAACGCAAAGGCTCGATGGTCTACCACGCGCACGGCGTTACTAGTTAACAGCTGCACAAACGTACACATATGGCATCGAACAGATGGCTATATTTGAATGGTAACAAGCCCTGGTCCTTCACTGTCACCAGGGCCATCGTAAATGCACGCTTCTGCTGTATACATGATGTACGCTGAAGTTGAAGGTTGATTACGCTATCTCTAATACTATGTTGTCGAAAAGGTGGACACGGTTACATAGCACGTTTTTTCGGGTGACTTACACGTGTATGTTGAAGTTGTCTACCAATGAGACGTTTTAACTAACAGATCGCTCCAGCGGAAGCCATACAAAAGAGAGTCGAGATGGTGGCAAAGTTCGACATAGGTAAATCATCATCTTTTTCGAACTTGAGATGAAGTGTCGAGGTGCATCAGATGATGTGTTCGTCATAGTCTCCTAGCAGACCTTGACACGTGCTCAGCCAGAGGCTTCGCTCTATGTTCGTCATTGGGACCATCTCGAATGCCAACTTCTGGCGCTACCAGATCCTTTCGAGGGGGTCAAGCCAGAGTTTTGAGAGGTGATCCCAAAATACATACGGCACTCATTTGTGTTCTGAAGATGGAGCCCGGGCCGAAGTCCCATGGTGAGCGGTCAAAAGGTCAGTTTTAGGCATGTTCTTTGACTGGTTTAAAGAATGACGAAGGAGCTTCCGAGTCGTGTTTTCGGGTGAAGAAGATCGTAGATATTCCCGTAGTCCTGAGAAGCATCCATGGTCGGATCGATGATATAATCATACATAGATTCTATGAAATCCAGCGTATGAAGAGCTTCAGGACATGCTTGAGTGACAACTACAACAAAGACGACAAAGAAAATAAAAGACAGTACTAAAGCTTGGCTAAAGCTATGATTGGTTTAGTTACTACTGCCGTGGCGGGTGCTCACTTAAGCGCTCAATATTAATGCAATCAATCGCACACAGTCTGTACCTGCGCACCCTCACCTCCTTCAAGTTGCTTTCCCGGAATACATCACCCTGAATAATCATGGCTACGTCTTCAAGCCGTCGCTCTCGGTACACCATGGATCGCTTTGCCATTCATGGTCCCTTCCCCGGCAAAAAAAATTCAACCTCAACTGACTCTGTGCGCACTATATCAGTGAGCCGCATTAAAGGTGTGTCCATTCTCGCATGCCATTTCCATACATACCCATGAACAACACCATCAGATTTGGACGTGGCCCGGAGTGCTGATGCTGAAATTCCTAAACAAATCATCCGCAAGGGAATGCTATATCTCCTTCGAGCCACTCTAACTGTGGTCTTACATCGTCTCACCCTCGTGGCCGTTGCTCTCGTTTTCTCCATTTTATTAGCTGGTTCTAGAGAGTGTGGACTACCCGGCCTTCCAGCTAGTGGCGCGTCTCGACGGGAACTGCCCTCAAACATGATCTGGGAGCATCGACTGGAACGGCGCCTACAGCAATTAGAGGATCGCTTTCTAGCAAACGAAGAGTCTCTGGCCGTTGCGTTATCTCAACAGGCAGCCGCTATGGAATCAGCTATGAACCGACACTCCAAAGATATTCTTGGTCAAACCGACTACGCATTACGAGGCCGAGGTGGTGATGTGGTTCCAGAACTAACGTCCCCCACTCGCTCGCTCCCCGACCACACTTGGTTTTCCCAGTGGATTCACCACGCCATTGGCTGGGATATCCGGTACAATCACATCAATCCGCCTACGGTCGCTATTGACGGTGATATCTCCGTCGGAAATTGCTGGTCATTCGAAGGATCCCAAGGTCAGATTGGGCTTCTTCTAGCAGAAACCTTGCACGTCAAAGCTATCAGTATTGACAATCCCCCCTCCGATCTACTGACAGACGCAGAGATCACTCGGGCACCAAAGGACATTGTCATATGGGGTCTAATTTCCGAAGACGACTTACCTTTGTTAGATTCCTCTCTTACACTGTGTTCAGAGAACTGCTTCTCCGCACATGCTGGCCAAAGGCATACTTTCGTTCAAATTTCCAAATTCAAGTATGATACCGCGCACTACGAGCATGTTCAGACCTTTTATGTTCCAGAATATGTCACCTCTCTAGGCATTACTTTCAGGACTGTGGTGGTAGATATTCGCTCTAATTGGGGCTCAAGCTCGAGCTGTCTTTACAGAGTCAGGGTACACGGATTTTAGTCTAATCGCCATTAGTAAACTTGATAGTACATTGCCTGTACGTAATGACTGCAGCTCAGACCTAACTAAAATTCGTAATCTTAGTGTACTTAGTCATCGGCATCGCAACTTTGACTTACATCCCTCCAGAGCGATTACTCATACATTGATCACGATATGTAAGGTATTAGAGGAAGTCAGGTTCACAGAGCCCATGTTCGTCTACCAGCCACTCGGCTGGTGGTCAAACAAACTCCGACCGGTGTCCTTCGCCATCGGCCTTGTAAGTCGCAATTGACTGACCCTCCAGCGTTAGCCACATATCCCCGTCTCCTCTGAACGCTCAGCATGTCGCCTCCCCTCACTCGGGCTGCTGCCCGGCGCGGTCATACCAGCGCCGCACAACCCTCTGTAGAAAATCATCACGCTACTCGCAGAGGTTCCCGACTCGGAAATCCAATGAAACCCCGAAAAAGCACTGGAAAGCGACTCCACCGTCCTCCTTTTCGATCTCGTACACCATCTACAGAAGCACTACCGCACCCTGACGACCAGGTCACGGGCTGGAGGGATTATAAGCATACTCGAGATGAGAATGCACAAACTGATGATACGGTTTTGCCTTTCTCGCTCAACGAACTTGAAACACGCGGACTGGCACCCTGGGCGGTCGCTACTAACAACGAACAAGCAGCCATGGAGGTCGTCCCTGACAACGATGAAGCAGCCATGGAGGCCGTCACCTACAGTATGTTCAGACTTGAGGAATTGGATCTGCTTTTCCTTAATAAAAAAACTAAACCTGGAAATCATCTGCCCGCAGACGCGAATCTTGTGCCTGCCCAAGGTAACCCATCTGAGTGCTATGACTGGGATAGCGATCGTTGATATCCTACCCTTCGGGCCCAGGCAGCTACCCGGATCCGCAGACCGAAGACATGCCAGTTACTGCCCAAGGTACTTTATCTAAGTGCCGCGACTGGGATAGCGATCGTTGATATACTATCCTTCAGGACCAGGCAGTTCACCACACCAACAGAGATACGCCATGCCGCTCATACTCTATGATCGTACTTCACAGCGCGATCTACTCGCTGATCAGGCCGTGTCACTTGAAGCATCACAGGATCATCTTTATCCTTCCGGCAGGCAGGCAGCATCAACTATTCCTGTAAATCATGATCTGCCCGCAGACACGAACCTTGCGCCTGTCCAAGGTAGTTTATCTGAGCGCACTGGGATCGCGATCGTTAATATACTATCCTTCACCAGGCAGTTTACCAGATCAGCAGAGACACGTCACGCCGCTTATACTCTACGATAGCACCTCACAACGAGATCTACTCGCTGGTCAAGCCATGCCACTTGAGGCCTCACAAAATCATCTATGTCCTTCCGGCAGCCAGCCAGTATTAACCACTCCCGGTACATCGGCGGTCATTTCCAAACAAGTAGACGATCAGAAGGATCAGAATCACGGTCTCATTGCCAAGCAACTCGCCACCAAGAGCTCAGACGTTCTTCGTGACACCTCCCGGGCAAGGCAAATGTCACCGTCTCCTTTTGCTCATATCGAGTCAGTCTCCTCGGGTATCTCTTCGGAGTCCGATAGTGCTGCACATATCGAAAAGGAGCTAGCTATGTCACCGTCTCCTTTTGCTCATATCGAGTCAGTCTCCTCGGATATCTCTTCGGAGTCCGATAGTGCTGCACATATCGAGAAGGAGCTAGCTGAAGCATCGGTTTCAAGCAAAGACATGGTATATTGCTTTTCAACTGTTTTCGATCACTTTATCTAAATAAGCCAATCAACAGACGGATTACAATTACCAACAAACGGAGTACGACTACCTGCGCCCATTAGCAGATCCAAATTCTATCTGCTCCCCCTCCCAGGCTATGCAGGTTAGAAATGGTAAGTTTTTCATTCCGACGATGGAAGGCAAGTGTTTCCACTTCCACCACGTCAATACCTCAGACTTACGACAGTGGGTTTCAGCTGCACAACCTTCTCAGTCATCGCCGGGACAGCCATCACGTGGGGATAAAAGTATTGTGCAGAAAGGTACTATCTATCAGCGGATCAGGGAATCCTCTGATATCTGTACATAGATGATGATGTCGCCATGACTGAGGTGATGGATCACAGAATGGGCCATCTCCTGATTAGACCCGTATCATCAAAAGTTCATAACGGGGATCAAGTACAAGTAGAAGGCAAAGGCAAGGCACCTATTAGAGGAACCGGACCATCGGCAAGCAAGGCCCAGTATACCGATCAGAACGTCAGAGAGCACACGAACCAGCGTCTCGCACATAATGAGCCAGAGACGCAGATGGATTCCTTTAACATGGTGGGCGGTGTATTTTAATATCCGTATTCAACCTCATGTTCTTTTCACTTTAGGAAGAGGCTTTGAAGCACTTGGCCAGTTCGCCGCAGGTCAGTAACTCAAGCCTCTGCTAGCTGACATATTTGATAAATTTTGACGAAATAGGACATTGCATCGCATGAAGACCTGGCACTCTTATTCTCATACGTTAGAAAGTATGAGAGTGTCCTCACTGAGCCTGAACAAGGTCCAGTGTCGGGTAATCCTACTGCGGGCCAAAGGCCTTTGCATGGCCGAGATTTCCCTCCATTCAAAGGCGACATTGCTCTACTTATCTCATGCCTTCTCAGTAATCTCAATCACCTCAAAAAGCAAGCCACTCGAGCAGAAAAAACGTCACACAACAATGACGTCCCTGGCGGCTTTAGCTCCAGCAGCGTGCACATAATTACCGAAGAATTGGCAAAGACCTCCATCAACGTCGAGTCAGGACCTCGCCAGGCGTCATCCGAGAAACTCATTTCGAACTCTTTGACACCCGCTAATCAGTTGTCTTCGAATGAAGTGATTTGCGAGCAGATGTCTGTCGACAAAGGATCTGCTACTGGCGGCGGAACTATACAATCCCCAACATCAGCCGTCGACGATTATCTAACGAATCCAGGTACGCCTCAGACGTTCAACGATGAGGAAACCTCAGAAATGTTTCCTCATGAACTGACCAACGTCGCAGGAAGCGCAAAGAGGCCAGCCACACGATCTCAAACATCTGCTAACGGAGGACCGCCAACCACGGCAACTACCGCCGCCCACATATCAGGGGAGCCGAGACGAACGCCTGCCGCTAGAGGACCTTCGATCAATCCAGTAACACCAGCTGTTCCCAAAGCGTCTGATCATAACCTTGCCAAGTCACCCGCTGTGCCGGCTCAAGGTCCTTACAAGACTCAAAAAGTTCACCGAAAACAGTCTAAATTAATAATACAGGTGTGCCATTACTTACACTCGTGGATGTTCTTGCCTTACATCATGGCCAGGATCAAATAAGAAAATACGCGCTGAAACTATTAGGAAGAGCAGATATAACTAGTCCTTTCCCCAAGGGTGTCCCTCGTAAGGAGGATATCACCCTTTTCCGTGTGCAAAAACATGTGGGGCCCACTGTTGAGGATTTCCGCCTTGACATCCATGGCTTTCCTCTTTCGCCCTGGAATAGACAGGCCATCAAAATCTTTGCGGAAGACTTCACGAAAAACCACGATTTCAAAGATACTCGCGCAGTTGAGAAGATGTTCGGAACCCATACGGTCGCTCTGCGTACTCAGTTTGCGGCAATCAATGCAGGAAGCATCAGTATAACTCGCCAGAAGCGCAACGATGATGCGGCCACGAAAGCAATGTTGTCCAGAAAGCGTTCTGTAAGCCTGAGTATTTGCTTTCAGTTGATGTGCCAGCTAACCACTCCCAGCTCCGTGAACGTCGCATGTTGGCTTGTCACGCCCATCCTGATCTACATCAGTTTCAGAAGGTTTGGGAGCACATGCCATTATGTGCGATGAGCGAGGATGAACTCGACGGCACTTCATCGCCGCCTCGCTACGTCATTACTAATCCTATCTGGAGATCAGAGCAGGTAACTCATTGGCTACGAACATTAGACCTGGCGTATCTTTCAACGCGATTCAACGAAAATGGGAGGGCTGGGAAAGGTGCTTTCCCTCATTTGCGAGTTCCTTCTACGAGGGTGGCTTCGGAGTCTACTGCGCCAAAGGGATTACCAAAAAACTGGTATGCGGAATCATACCTTCAGACACTCACGTCTGGTGAGCAAAAGGCACTGGAAATGTACGAACCAATCCTACTCCCGCTCAGCAAGGCAGTGTTAAGGTATGCGATACTGAAACATCGCTGGACTTTTTCCCACTGACCTTAAATAACGTAGCTATGCAGAACGCTATCGGGGAATCAAAGGAAGAACGGATAGATTACCACCTCAAGTGGGTCAGAAGTGATAACGCAATCTCCATATTTCGTGCTCGGCGGCGTTGTAGCATTGTCCGGTGTTATCATCGATTATACAAAATTGCAGGTCTCAGATAGATATTCATTCATGCTGGCCAATGGCAAGCCAATTCATATAGCAACGTTTTTGATATTCCCACTGTCAATTATTTGTTTTCCTTGAGATTGTGTAACTTCATCATCACGGCTGGGCTTCCGTAGCGTGCTCAACCAAATTATGTCAGACGCCCTGATGTCAGACCCGGGTGTCTGAACAAAAGCACTGTTATACTCCCTGATATGCAGTAATAAGACGAGCGATTTGTTTGGAGAAATTGCCAAGATTCTCAAAACCAAGCAATGCGACGCAAGGTCTAGCTAGCTCTGACAAGGTCTGTCAATACCTAGCAAACCCCGGGGTTTGAACTTGAACCTGCACAACGTACGCTGCCTTCGGCATACTCACCAAGTGCCTGTCCTATGTATAGAAGCAATGATAGCGAGTAGGTGCGGACATTTTGTCCGCGTACCTATAATGCCATTCGTGCGCAACATCAATATTTGCGGTTCACGCGTAACGTCGAACAAGTTTCTGATTGCGCGTATGGAACACAGGGGTAGATGTACATACAAAGGCGAACGATGGTAAGGAAATTGTGAGAGAATCAGATGCGAAGACAAAGTCCAATGTGAGCAGTCGATTTTGTTGTTATCGAGATCCAAACCACAAGTGAGAAATGTAAAGAACGAGGACAAATGCGCGTATGGAACACAAGGGTAGATGTACATACAAAGGCGAACGATGGTAAGGAAATTGTGAGGGAATCAGATGCGAAGACAAAGTCCAATGTGAGCAGTCGATTTTGTTGTTATCGAGATCCAAACCACAAGTGAGAAATGTAAAGAACGAGGACAAGTCCGGAAGCAAAAACAATGAACAAATACCGGAAAACGA